CAGGGATGCAAAGGCAGATGGGGAGGGAAGAAGCCCCAAGATTTCCCAGGGAGTGGATTGAGTAGCTGGGTTGTACTGGATGCAAAGGATCAGGGAGAGTAAAGGTAAGCCTCGGAACCCCAGAAAGAGGCTGTCAGCCCCAGAAAGAGGCAGGCGGGTGTTGCAGGACCAGGGAAGTAGAGGGAGGTGAGGGCGGGGCCAGGACCAAAAGCGGTGCTCCTGGGGCCCAAGAAAGGCACTGAGTTGGTCTGGGTGAGAAGGGTCAGGAAGCAGTATTGGTTCCCCAGGTGTCTCGGGCCCCAAGATTTAGGATTGGTGCAGGGCCCAAACTAGGAGTATAGAACAGCCGGGGGGGCGGGGGGATGGAAGGGTGAATGTGGCTTAGGGAGTCCCGGCGCGGAGAGCTGCGCTATAGACTTACCCCAAGAGGCCTGAGTATACCCCAAGAGGCCTGAGTATAGTCTGACTAAAACCTTTTAAGGAAGTAGTTCGTGTTCATTTGCAGATGTGTGAGAATTTGCTGCAGACCCTGGTTGATTAGTGGAGAAAGAGGGATGATAATACAGTAAATCATTTGAACTTCCCACGGTTAGCAAGCATGTGGTTTTTGTTGTTTGCATGGCTAGGGCTTGAACCCAGGGTTGAGAATTTGCTGCAGACCCTGGTTGATTAGTGGAGAAAGAGGGATGATAATACAGTAAATCATTTGAACTTCCCACGGTTAGCAAGCATGTCGTTTTTGTTGTTTGCATGGCTAGGGCTTGAACCCAGGGTCTTGTACATGCTAGGCAAGCACTTTATCAATGGGCTATAGCCCCAGACCTAACATACATGTTTTTAGCAGATTTTCTACGTATTATGCTGTGTGCTGAGTATTTGTAAGTAGTGTAGGTTAGTATCTTTCTAAGCAAATGTACTTCAGCATTTGAGCTGGAAGTTAGGTCCCACGGTAGATGCTGGGATTCGGCTAGAGAACACTTTAGCCTGAGATATTAGAAGCCACATAACTGAAGTTCCAACCAGCCAGCCAGCAGTTCTTTTGTCCTCCTTCCTGCCCTCATTTAAGGGGGTAAAATTCCTTTCTCTACTCCACTGATCTTTCATTTCCAACTGCCTGGTTGTGCCACCAGTGAGTTCCCTCACAATGTATTTTTTCCTCCAGCTTAATTGAAGTTTTAGAAAGTGAAATAATGTCTAGATAAAGCATGATGACATTTTTGAAGTGGGGTATATGGAAATGTCTTGTGGTAAGAAATCCATCAAGAAAGACTGTATTCTCCTTTGAGACAGAGGGAAAACAAATGTAGCTTTAAACCATTTGATGAGTTTCAGGCCCACTTATCACTGTTGGAGAAGCTAGTGGGGAAATGAAAGAATGATGTTTTTTCCATTCTATAGAGAACTAGAATTCTGGATTTAACTTTGTGTATGTGTGGTGGGGTGGTGGTGGTGGGGGGGCTGCAGAGGCAACTACTGCAGAGCACTTAAGACCCTTCTGTTCCTTGTCAGGGTGGGATGTAGCAGTACTTGGTGTGACATTGCAAGGTTGAAAGAATGAGTGTTAAAGGGTATTTAGTCTTCCTTGCATGTATAGTCAACTCTAAAACTTCCCCTTTCTACCAGGAGGCAGATCATGTAGAAAAGTTTGAATTTCTGATGTTTAAATTTTGACATTCTTGCTAAACTTTCATACCATGGGGGAAGGCAAGTGAGTCCTTAGATGTAGCAGACCATCTGATGCTGGCTCATAGCTTATGGGAAACCACAGGATAAACCATGGGAAGCAAACAGCCTTTGTCATTTGGAGAGCTCAGTGTTCTAAGGAGAAGCATATGAAACAATGTTTAAAATATCTCATCCCTTTCTTTCCCTTCCCCACAGTGGTTTGCAGGAAAAATTTAGACAGCACAACAGTGGCAATTCATGATGAAGAGATCTATTGCAAGTCCTGCTACGGGAAAAAGTATGGACCAAAAGGTTACGGTTATGGACAGGGTGCTGGCACGCTCAACATGGACCGTGGTGAGAGGCTGGGCATCAAGCCAGAGAGGTGAGAGGGGAGAATGCTTGTCCGCTTCTTGGAAGTATGTAGAATGGTTACTGTTGCTCAGTAGACAGGAACTTAGGCGTTTCTACATGTTTAACTGAAACTAAATGTAACTCAGAATTCCTAAGGTGCTCTCTACTATCTGTTCTCGAACTTAAATAGTTACAGTTTCTAATTTAACCAAGGTCTTATTTCAGGAACTCCCAGGCCTAGTTTTTTTTTTAATTTTATGTGTATGAGTATATTGCCTGCATGTAGGTAAGTGCACCCATGTCATGCAATACCCTCGGAGGGCAGAAGAGGCTGTTGGATCCCCTGGAACTGGAGTTACGGACAGTTGTTAGCTGCCATGTGGGTGCTGGTATTTGAACCAGGATCTTCTGCAAGAACAACCAGTGTTCTTAACTTCCGAGTCATCTCTCCAGCCCCATGGAACTCCCATGGCCTAGTTTTATAGCATTCTAGGTGGTATCGAGGAGACAAGGTCTTAAAAGCAACTGACAATGATGCCTACAGTCTATGGCACTTTGGAGATCAGATATCGTGAATTTAAGTGATAAAGAAATGGGCCTGAATCATGAGGCATTTCTCATATGCAGTTAAGCAGTCCATGGAAATTCCTTACTCTTTCTACTTAAGACTCTTTCCTCATAAAGAAATTACAATTACTGTCCTTTAACTTAAAAAATTGAAACTGTTTCCTGTTTCTGATGATTTGTGAGACAAATGTGAAACATCAAGGTCTCCAGTACCAGGGAATCAGAGTGCTAAATCTGTTATAGCTTAGTACTTCATAGTCACACTAAAAAAAAATCATTCTTCCTATTTCTTTCCTCCCTTCTTCTCTTCCTCTGTCTTTGAAAAGAAGGTCTCCCTGTGTTGCCCAGGGACTGAGTATGCAGCACTGCCTGACCTTGAACTCACATTCCTCCCCATTGTCATTTGAACTTTATCCTGTAGAGGTCAAAACTGATGTAATAGTTCTGAATGAAAAGGACTCTTCTTGGACAAGACCATGAATTCATTCTAGATACCACATAATACTGGTGTATGTTAACTTATGTAATCCCAACAATCCTGTTATAGGGTGGGCCTTTCTGTTTTACTCAAAAGGAAATTAAGATAGTGAGAATGACCTACTTTGTCTATGATATAAATCCTGGAACTTAGCCTAGTCTCCCTCCAAAGCCTGTAATACGAAGCAGCTTGGCTGAATACTCATGTATTCAGTGCCTACCATCTAGCTTTGACTTTGACAGACAGAGTGTATGGTCCTCACAGTAACTGGGGTTAGCTATTCTGTGCCTGTCATACAGATGAAAATACTGAGGGTCAGGCCACACAGCACCAAGATTTAAACCAGAGTCTGTCTGGTTCAGATTCTGGGCTGTCACTGCTGTAGTGTGTGCGGCACTGGGCTCACTTTTCTTGGGTAACTTGCTTTCCACACTCAGCATCTGCAATGGTGGCTTACTGTGCAGCAGCTATAGGAGGTCCAGGTCCCTCACTGCTCTATGCCCAGAAAACAGCTTTTTAAACATGTACTTTTTCTGTTCTCTTTTTTCCAGCTTGTTAAGTGCATTCTTATTTCCAAAGATTTTATTTCAAATATTTTTTAAAAAAATGTATGTATACCCTCTCTTCAGTGAAAACTAAATTCATCCAGGCCCCAAAAGTTAGTGATTATAGCCATAATTTCAAAGTCCCAAAGACCAATGAAGCCTGCTCTTCACTCCCAATTCTTCACATTCTCTAGTAGTTTACAAGCCCCATGTGCAGGTCCTGAGTTCATCTGTAACCCTGCCTGGTGCTACTTAGTTGGCCATATTCTGTTCTTTCTTTAGGATACAGGTAAAGTGACATCCTTTTCAAGGAAGCCTTACTGACTGAACACCCATGACATGCCTTCTAAAGTAGACTAGAGTTCCACAAGGGTCCACTTGAGAGGTGGCACTGAGTGGAAGGACATTTTCATTGAGGCAGACCAGTTCAGCCTCACAACGTACGTGTTTTCTAGCCTATTAGCAAGTTATTTAACTCGGAGCCTCTATTTTTTTCATCTGTAATACGAGGTAGGAGATGTTGTTAAAAGGCTGGATGGGAGATACTCTGTGCAAAGTTCTTTGGCATATTTAGAAATTTTTCTTGGGACTCTAAACTGCAAGTGTTGGATATCATTTTTAACAAACTTTCAAAGATCACTTTTAAAAATAAGCATATCAGAGGCTAGAGAGATGGTGCAGCAGTTAAGAGCAATGACTTTTCTTGCAGAGGACCTGGGTTTGAATCCTAGGACCTACTTGGCAGCGAACAGCCATCCATAATTTCAGTTCCAAGGAATCTGACGCCCTCTTCTGTCCTTCTAGGGCACTGCACAACAGGGGTGCACTTACGCACATGTGGGCATAAGACTCATACATATAAGCTTATTTAAAAATTTTATTTTATTAGTAGGTTTTGGAAATATTTTTAATTTTTACCTATATTAAGAACTGGAGAAAACACTGAATTCATACTTTGAATTGGCCACATGACTCAAAGACTGATAATGTATTAATTTGTGTGGAGGTATTTGTGTGGCGGTATAGAACACTCCTAAATGACTCTAAAACCTAGTGAATGAATATGAATTTTATGAAAAGGTAGTATTTCTAAGTTATTTGAATTTAGATATGTATGTAATGTAACTTGTAAAACATTTTCCAGTAGGTAACGGTCCTTAGCTGCTACTTCACACAGCAGTACCATAGCTGACCTGCTGTTCTAAATGCCCTTCAAGCTCAGAAGATGTTTTGTACATCCTATGTACCTACTTATGAATTGGGATGGGAGGGGAAGAATCCTGCTGAACATGATTTACTGTGGTAACCTATCAGTAGTGACAAAAATATGTCTACCTCAAGAAAATGTAAAGCAAAACAGAACCAAGTAACAAGCAAATTTCCTTAAATATTTTTCACGAAGAAAATAGTTGACTCAAGCTTTGCCTATAACGATATATTGAGAAAATAATCTGTAAAACATGCCTAGCTTTCCTAGGTATGGATAACGTAATTCAGCTGATGTTTGCAGATTTTAACTCTAGAATTGTGCAACACTGATTTTGTACTTTGCTGTGAAGTAGGGAGCTAGCTGATTCTGGTTGTGTTAATGATATGACTGGAGAAGAAATAACTGCTTAGTCAGAGGGCAGTGCTAGGGATTAGATAAATTGTTTATACTCAGAGAACAGATATTTAAGTTTGGGGCTTGGCCATCTTTTTGTAGCATTAATGAATCCATACACAGATTAAGTAACTCCAGTTGTGAGCAGCTGAGATAAATTGCTTCATTCTTCTGTTATGGCAGCCTGCAAGGACTTCTGACCCTGCCATAGGAGAGCAGTTTAAGTCTCTGAGTTGCAGTTTCTCCTTTGGCTTATAAGGACCTTTTGGGAATTTTTTTTTTTTTCTTTCCTTTCCCCAAGTGCTCAACCTCACAGACCTACAACCAACCCAAATACTTCCAAATTTGCCCAGAAATATGGAGGTGCTGAGAAGTGTTCCAGATGTGGGGATTCTGTATATGCTGCTGAGAAGATCATTGGAGCTGGGAAGGTAAGGTGCTGTTTCATTAATAACCGTAAACTCATCTCCCCTCTACTTCTGCCCAGCCCTGCGCATCCCACTCAGGCCATGTGTTCTGGTTTGAAATTAAACTTCAAATGAATTTGTCAGAATCATTAATTTATGGAAGCGGTAAAGAACTTATTTTCCTAAGGAATGTTTCCTAAAAGGCCAAACTGTAGAAATCCTTCTGTCTGTAGCTTATTCCGTCTAATAAGGGTCAGGATACCAGTGATCATTAGATAAGTGGACTTGAAAAGTTACCACTTAACCCCTTTGAGCTACTAAATTCTCAGCCAGGAATGAAGTGACTTCCAAGGAGCAGGCTGGGTTTGTTGCCAGGCCAGTCTGCTCTTAGGGAAACGTCTTTCTCAGGTACAGGCCTGTGAATGAAGTTCTGAAGTTCAAAGACAGCCCTTTGTGGGTGGCCAGTTCCAACCTTCTAGCTGAGCCAAACCACAGCAGTCAGGAGCTTGCAGTGGGCTGATCTTCCCCCGCCACTTCTTGCTACGACTAAATCATAACATAGGAAATAAGGCTCTTAAATGTGCTAACACATCTGTCTCTTCCAGCCCTGGCACAAAAACTGCTTCCGATGTGCCAAGTGCGGGAAGAGTCTTGAATCAACAACTCTGACTGAGAAAGAAGGTGAAATCTATTGTAAAGGTAAAATTTGTTTGTGCTATCCATTAGTATCCCACATGACCTATTATTTAATGAAGTATCACTGATCTAAAAATACTTTGGAATCAAAAAGGCATAGCATTATTAGAAAGTGAAGCCCACAGTGTGTTTGACAGGTTAGATTACATTCTGAAGTTCCTATTTAACTCTCCTACACAGTTGGGATTGTGGTGAAATGGTAAGGCACTCTGTCTAGCATTTATGAGGCAGAGTTCCACCCCCAGAACTGCCTATCACAGTCTTCTAACTGCTTTAAGCATAGCAGTATGTGAAGGTAATAGACAATGCATGACTTGGCTGGCTTTCTTGCTTCTAACTTTGCTTTCAAGTGAGGATATTTGTTTTTTGGGGTTTTTTTTTTGTCTTTTTGAGACAGGGTCTCCCTGTAGCCCCAGCTGTCCTGGAACTCACTATGTAGACCAGGCTGGGCTTGAACTCACAGAGATCCGTCTGCCTCTGCCTCCTGAGTGCTGGGATTAAAGGCATGCACCACCATGCCTGGCTCCAAGTGGGGATATTTGTAACAGCACATTTTGTACCTTAAAAAAATTGAACTCGGACAAAGTCAATGGTATTTATGGGAGTTTGCCTTAAACAGTGGTAGAAAAATTAATGAACCTTTACTAACTCTCCCTTTTCTTTCTTAGGATGCTATGCAAAGAATTTTGGGCCTAAGGGATTTGGCTATGGTCAAGGAGCAGGAGCCCTCGTGCATGCTCAGTAAAGGTGTGAACCCAGAACTAAACATCACACACTTAGAATCTGTTCATAATCAAAATATAGATGACCTTCCAACACTAAAGCACTGTGAAACTCTACCAAGAAGTACTGTGTATTACACCCTATGTGTGCATAAGACTAACTTGTAGGAAGACAGCACTGCAATCTCTCACTTTATTTACTAGCATTTTGAAGAGCATGCCTTTTACATTTTAAATAAAATTTCTGCTTCATTTCGGTGTTTGTGGTCTCTTAACCTTTCAGAGGAGCCGCAGTGATTTTAGTTAGTGGAAAATTTGGGTCCTTCTGCTTCATTTGTTAAAGACTCAACCCTATTACCCAGCGGATATAACAGGCTAACATTTGCACTGCAGGTATTGAAAAAAGATGAAAATTTTTTTCCTTATTTTTGGTAATTTCATACACATCCCCTCCCAACCTTGTGTGGTTTTCGGGGGGGGGGCAGTATTTTTTTGTACTCTCCAGCTTTTTTACTTCACTGAGGAACTATTGGCAGGTGACAGCTGCTGGGGGAGGGAGAATCATTCTTTTTAAAGGTGTGACCATTAGTGTTTCTCAAGCTCCAGTGGATGGCCGCAGACCCATGCACATATAGGCAGCACTATTTGGATGTAGTGGTTTATCAGAAGGTCTTTGAAATTGGCAAGAATGCCTCAACTGATGGTTGCCAAGTAATGACCATCAGCATTTCAGATCCTCAGAGTTGGCAGTCGACAGTCCAGCACTGCTTTCCTTCTTGCCCCATTAACAGTCTGGTGGTCTTTTTGAGACAGGGTCTCCCTGTAGCTCCAGCTGTCCTGGAGCTCACTATGTAGACCAACAGAGATCAGAACTCAACAGAGATCTGCCTGCCTCTGCCTCCCAAGTGCTGGGATTCAAGGTGTGCAGGTCTTTTTGAAACAGGGTCTTCCCTGTACCCCAGCTGGCCTGGAACTCTATGTGTACAACAGGCTGGCCTTGAACTCACAGATATCCGCCTGCCTCTGCTCCTAATGCTGGGATTAAAGGCATGCGCCACCACACCCGGCTTTTTGTTACAGGTTTTAAATTACTTTGAGTCATTATAAGTAATTTAATCTGAGGCTTAAATGTAACTTCCACACTTCAGTCTAATGGAGAGGTACAGACTTAACTAAAAACAGGTGTTTTTGTCACTGTTGAAATACTCAGCTTGTCAGGTAGAAAAGGGGCCTTAAATATTTCACTATCCTATCCTAACAGATTTTAGTTATGAGTCACCTTATCCCCCCCCACACACACAGTTGGTAATGCATATCAGTAAATTTGAACCAGCCTCATCTGTGAATATATCTTCATCTTTTCTAAATCCCATTTTCTTGTACTATACTGCTAATTCTGAAAAGCTAAAGAGGTACTTACTGTTTATAGTAAAATAAAAAAGGTGACTGAACTGACTACTGGGTAAAACAATGCTTTTATCACAGCCCCACACAACTTTAGGCATTTTATAAAGCATACCCATTTTCCTGTGAGAGGGGGCCCTTTAGTTTAAGCATACTAGAAAATAGTTAATTGGCAATAAAAAGTAGAATACTTAAGGAACAACTTTCAATCCTATGTGATGGCTTAGGACATGTTCACAATACTCTCACAAGGGAGTGTTACAGATAATTCCATACCTGTAGATGAACGGTGCACACTAGCATACTGAAGATCTGGAGAGCTGAATACTAAAGTAGTTCTCCATGGAAGAAAGCACTAACATTCTAGGGAAACGGTGGACTGGACCTGAAGATCTGAAACTGCTCTCAGAACCCCATCACATTCTCATTAAGGACTCCAAAGAACTTTTTTTTTTTTTCTTTTTGAGACAGGGTCTCCCTGTAGCCCAGCTGGCCTGGAACTTGCTATATAGACCAGGCTAACCTTGAACAGACAAGAGATCGGCCTGTCTCTGCCTCCTGAGTGCTGGGATTAAAGGCATGCACCACCATGCCTGGCTAAAGAACTTAAAAAAAAATTTTTGTACGTGTAAGTGTATTGCCTGTACTGTGCCTGTGGAGGTCAGAAGAGGGAGTCTGATACCCCTGAACTGGAGTTACAGTTGTTAACCATGTGGGTACAGGGAATCAAACCGGGGTCCTCTGCAAGAGCAGCCAGTGTTCTTAACCACTGAGCCAACTATCCAGGCCAGAACTTCGATTTTTTAACTGTTGTATCTGTCAATGTTTTCCATTCAATCTTTTAGACTTTAATTCAGACTTCGAGTAACAAAGGATAGTTATGGGGGAAAGGGGACAAATCTTACCAATTACCAAAGCTTGGTGCTTTGTTGCACAGACCACAGATAGAGATGGAAGCCATTCTGAATTAAGGACACAGCCTAGAGTCCATGGAAACCACAGCTGCTGGAATTTATAGGACTAGAGAGCTATGCAGAGAAAACTATAGATTACACAGAGCACCCCACAAACCCACCTTGCAGACATTCAGCAAATTCCACTGGCTAGCTTTCATAGTGCTGGAAAGTGCTATGCAAGCTATGGAAATCCGTGAATCCTGCTAGTTACAAAACTGGCCTAGCAAGACGTGCCCACTGGTACAATAGTGGCATGAACGTTATGGGAGTAACCATTAAATTCACAAAATGGAGTCCATACCTGATACAAGGCCTAGAAACTTAAGGCTAGGCAGGTCACAGGCCACAGGGGAGAGCCTACTACTATTATTCTGCTAAATAAACAAAGGATTAAACCAACTCTTATACACCCATAGATTAATGCATCTCTCAACTCTCACCAGAAAAGCTTCCTCATGCAACAGCATCACACCCTTAAAACCAACTCTCCCTTCCCCAGTAGCTTCAGTTGCCAGTAGTTCCTCAGCTAGGGTGGGGCTTACCCACTTCTCCTACCCACTCCACAATGGTCATTTATCTAGTTTAAGCTTATGTAGGTCTTGTACATACTGACACAATTGCTGTGAATTCATATGGGTAACTGCTATCTGGAAAAGTTTCCTTGTAGTCATTTATTGAGTCTTTCTGCCCCCTTTTCCAGTGATCCCTGAGCCTTGGAAAGCAAGGGCTTGACATAGGTGATGACAGCTTATACAAGATCCTTCTAAGCCCAAGCCAGACAAAATCCTGCCATATAACTGGGAAAGTGGATAAGAAGCCCCAACCCAAGCTGGGGAACTATTGGTAACCAACAGCTATTGGAAGAGGGAGAGTCAGTTTCTTTAAGGGTGCAATGCTAGGTAGGTTAACCAGTTTCCATGGTTGAAGTGCATTTGGGGACACAAATTTGACTCAATAGGCCTTAAAAAAAATGAAAAACAAAATGAAATCCAGTGGGAGGGCTCTAAGACAGGTGCAGAGATGGAGGGCATGTAAATATCCCATATGAAATTTTCAAAAATTCAATGGAAACAAAAACCTCCAAATCAAATATTATAAGTGAAAACTATGAAATAAAGTGTGATATAAAAATACTAATTACTATTAATGGAAGATTAGACACTGTGAAAAAAAATCCCAAAGTGATAGAAACTTTCTAAACACAGGAAGAGATTAAACAGCAGAGAGCAACGAGCTACATATAAGGCAAGACCAAGTGGCCTGATATATGTACAACGAAAGTGTCTTGAGAAAGGGAAAGGAAAAATATTGAATAACTGGGAAATTTCCAAATCCGATAAAACTATACATCTGTAGATCCAATCACCAGCAGCCAGAATGAACCTTTCTGATGTGAGAATAGTTCTAAAAATATTGCCATCTATTAAAACTGCCAAGTCAGTGGTGACACATATTTGTAATCCTGGCTACTTGAGAACAAGTCAGGTGGAGGCCCCCATAATAAAACTCCCTCTATTTTGTAATGTGTGATGGCAAAGATAAACTTACCTGAGTAAAACCTACCTCAGCAGAACATACAGATCCAAGTTAGAGGCAAGTTTTCTAAGAGCCAGGTCTGGTTCCCTTGAGTTTGTCATTTAGACAACAGGCTGGATATTCTACTTGCAACCACACATTTTTTTTTCCGTGTCTTTTCTGAGACAGGATCTCCCTGTAGTCCTAGCTGGCCTGGAACTATGTAGACCAGGCTGGCCTTGAACTCAGAGATACACCTTCCTCTGCTGGGACTAAAGGTATGCGCCACCACGCCTGGCGTACATATTTTTTAAAAGTCACAAATACATTTAAATTTTCAGAAACACTTCAGGAGTTTGAGGCCTTACTGTCTAACAAGAGCTAAAATGTCATGTCCTGGTATGTACTTTTCCATTTTATAAACTAGAACTCAACATCTGCACAACAGGTATGGCCTACTAATGTGGCAAGGACTAGTAAGGATACAGACACGTAAATAATAAACAGGAGCAAAGTGCCTGGCATGAAAGTACACAGTTTGCTCTATTCTGTAAATACAAGATATTTTTTAACTTGAGATCTAGACAGCTCTGGAGCCATTTTATTCAATATCATAGAGCAATTATGAATTGAATATTAGTCCAACCTGAAAATATTCCTGATTAACACCACTGGCCTTTTTTTGAGGAATATATATGGTTTATGAAAGATTACATTCTTATGGTCAAATTTCTTAATTTTTTTTTAAACTTTTGTCAATTTTCATACAATACAGATTGTATTTTGGTTTTTTTTTTTTTTTTGAGGATGGAGCTGCAATTCAGACCGGCTAGAGGCGACTCCGCCCCATACAATATAGTTTAATGGTAATTAGATTCCCTTCCACATTAACAACAGGAAAGAATCTCCTCATCATTTTTTTGTCTTTTTGAAACAGGGTCTCCCAGTAGCCCCAGCTGGCCTGGAACTCACTATGTAGACCAAGAACTCACAGAGATCCACCTGCCTCTGCCTCCCGAGTGCTGGGGTAATTTTTCTTTTTAAATTTGCAAAGACACTTTCTTTGCCATGCCCACATTCTCAAGTAACTGGGATCAAATTCTGGTACCATTTTCCAATATTTTACTATAATGTCTTTAATTCAACACTTACATTTAAAAGTCAGATTCATACAGTCCCTGAGGATTCTTAGTAAATCCACTGAATCTAAAAATCATAAAGATGTAGTCTTTTTATTAAAAAAAACAAAAAAAAACAAAAAAAAAACAAACCCACAAAAGCTGAGGATGGTGGCACATGGCTTTAATCCTAGCACTCGAGATGCAGAGGCAAGTTGATCTCTGTGAGATTAGATGGGAGGTTTACACAGTGAGGTCTAGCTGAAGCTTCAGGAAGACTGTCTCAAAAAGCAAAGAAACAAACAGGCACCCCGCCCCCCAAACAACAAAAATCACACATACATGCATACACAGGGAACTGGGAATTTTCAGACTACTAACACCACCAATTTGACTTACTTTTGCATCTCTATAATCCTATGCCACTTAACTCACAAGAGAAATGTATAATTTCTTCAGATCACAGACACCATTATGGTTTAATCAATTTCTTTGAAGTGAACTGAGCAAACACACCAAATTTAAGAGTCAATATTTATTCTGATTAATATTTTACAAAATTTTGACAGATTTAATTTATGTGAGGACTAATTTATTAAACACTTTACAAGTTTTTCTTTCCACAGAGTAACACAGTAAGTAGCAAAATAATACTTGGCACAGTTATAAATAAAGAAATATAAAATAAAAAATATCCATAGCTTAAGTAGGATGCTTTTATGCCTAATATTTCAAATAAACTCCTAAAAACAACAAAAATATCAATGAAAAAACTCCAAAGAATTCATGTTCAGAGCTGAGAATGAAGTTCCTGTTTCCTAAAAGTATTTCAATTGAGACAATAGGAACTATTCCCTAATGGACTAGTTACCTTCACACACAGCTTGAGAGCTGGGTTAAATTGGCTCCACACACGACCTACAAAATAATGAAACAGACGCTGCATAGTTGCCTCCTGACCATCTGACAATTCCGTTACAAATTTCACTGGTACTATGAAATGGTTAGTACTAAAAGCATCTCCTTGCAAATATTTCCCATGTAATTATACATTTAGAGGTTTTTTTTTTTAATTTTTTATTTTTGTTTGCTCAACTGAGAGGCATCTCTTTTGCACTGAAAAGAATCTTGTACCACAAAGAAAGAACATGGTAACAACATTCTTATTCAAACTCTGAGAAAACCACCATAGTCTTTGTTGATAAAAATGTATCTGATAAAAATTGCAACTGAGTCTTCATGTGAAGTGACTCAAAATACAAAAATTAAAACAAATTCTAGCATTTTATAAATAACTTTTGAATTTAAAAATTACCTAAAATTTCCCCCCATTATTAGTCAAAACTAGCAGAGACATTTGTACAGTTAACCAATTTTTTACATTCTATGACAAAATGGTACAATGCTATTACCACCCCACACCCATCTCTTCCCTTTTCAAAAATAAAGTACATATGCCAATTCTAATATTAAAACCCTCAGGTACAACAAGGGTAATCTTTTGATATGTTGACTTATGGTCAAAGAAATTACTATATAAAAATGGTAGTACTTGGAAATACTGAACATCAACTATATACACCTTCACTGCTCCTCTTACTAAGGCAGGGGGCAGGTATATCACTAGATTGCTTAATACCTGTAATCTGCACTTTATAGGGAATACTAATTTTACCAAGCATTGGACATGCAGTGAACTTGCAAGGAATAATGCCTATTAACAGCAATATTGAATGTCACTAGAAGCTCATTAATATCTCCCTTTTCGGGGGGGGTTGGACAAAATGAAATGAGCAGCTTTTAAAACACTACTACACAGAGACACAGAGAGAAAACTATTTGATAAATTATTTATATACAGATACACATTCTTTACACTGGTCTAGGATCTGATATCAGCCTGACCTCCCTTCCCCTCTCCCACCCCCCATTCCCTCTCACAGGTTTCCCACAGGTTGCTCGAACCACAGTTTACTACAGCATTTAAGAGGACTACATCAAGTCTCACTGTAAACAATATTCATGGAAGCAGTGACATGAATTCATCATGAGGGCATGGAAATGCTGCAACAAAAATTGATCAGTGCAGCACATTCAATAGTAAAAAAATCTGAAATAGTTTCAGACAATGTTACAAACTTCAAAACATGTTCAATGCTGGAAAAATTAAAATAATCCTGGGCATTAAAATTCTACTTTCTCATAGATCATCTTTTTTTAAAAAAAAGAATATTTCATTAGCTTTTCATTTATTCACATGTGCTATGTACAGAGATCATGCTCCATCTTTAGTTTAAACTTCATTATTTTTCTACAATTTATTTTTCAGTTCAGAATTTAAAAAGAAGCAGATCTGTTTATTTCTGTTACTAAGAATTTTGTGTTAGCTTATTTGTTTTGCTGCTTGTCGAAAATTCACCTCAACTCTTTTAAAAATTGAACTGTTCTGCGCATGAAATTAAATCCTAATTTATGCTTCACTGGACAGTATCTGCTAGTATACATTCTATGCAGTGTATCATGCACTTAGTAGGGCATTAAATTTCAACAAAATAATGTGACTTAGTATACTTACTCATGCAAGTGCTTTATTATCAGACCTTAAGACCTCAGAGCAAGGTTTCTAGAAATTATTTCACTGGACTAAAAATATACCAGCATAGCAACAGCTGATAGAAACAAAACAGCCAGCACACTTTTTGTGAACATTATTTCCTTGTGCCTTAGAAGACACAGTACAGTAGATTTCTAATAAAACCACATGATTTTCATCACAGTATTTACATGTACATCTAAAAATGTACATAATACTAAATCGATCAATTTAAGACAATTCTCCTGGAATTAGATGCAATACTCTTAGTACTGCATAATAAAATTTAGCCATATAACATAAATATAGTCTTAGTTATAAGTGAGCATTTATCATCAGTATACCATTTCTATTAACAGAATAAGTTCACTTTTTTCATGAAAAATGTTATGAGAACAAAACCAAAAAGTTGAGTACATTGTGAATTCCTACATTAAGAACTGTGAAAATTCTTTTTATGATTTTTATTCTTCCCAGAAGTGGCAGTGTGTTCTGTCCATGTTTACTTTTGTTAATAAAAGTGTTGGGAGAGAAAAAAAGAAGACTGTAAAATTCACTGTTAGCCCTACATATAGCATGCTATTTGTTCCAAGGATATGGATTCGAGTGAGAGAGACAGGGACAGACACGATCCTCAGGCACCACTCAGCAATGTTTCGGAGGATAAAGTCGCTGCTACACAAGCTGGTACCCAGATCCTGATATTTGGTCATATTCTATAGTATACTGCCTGGTCCAGTCCACAATAACAGGACGAAAGAGGCCACAGCATCGAAATTCAAAGAAGTCTATAATATTTCTTACACATCCATGGCTAAAAACAGCCCCCCAAAAGAAAAGAAAATTCAGTTAGTACAGGTGACTTAATATGACTTCAATTTAATTTTTTTCTAAGTGTAAAAACTCAAGAAAGAAACTGCTGGCAAAAAAGAACCCCTCTGTCACTACAAATAGACAGGCTTTCTTTCATGGTTCACACAGCTCTGCCAACATTTTATTTTACTCTTTTGCTAACTTAAAACATTATACAAGCATAGTTTAAAGTTACCCAACTTCTTCACTCCAATATTTGATTTTAAAAAACACAAAGAAAAACTTTCTCAATCGCTGGTTTTTTGACAATAAACCAAACTATCTCCAAAATTGAAAAAAATAAAGCAATTATACACATTATTGAATTCGACAATGGACCTGGAAGTAACAATTCATAAAAAGAAATGTCAGGATCAGTTCACAGACTTTAAAAAATTTTTTTTAATTTATTTTTATTTTATGTGTACGAGTGTACTGCCTGTATGTAGTGAGGGCACCTGTGTCATGCAATGCTGTGGAGGTCAGAAGAGGGTATCGGATTCCCCTGGATGGAGTTAAGAATGGTTCGTAGCCACCATGTGGATGCTGGGAATTGAACCTGGGTCCTCTGCAAGAGCAGTCAGTGCTCTTAACCGCTAAGCCATCTCTCCAGTCCCAAGTTCAGAGACTTCTAAGACTTCAACAAGACTCTTGGAAAAAATTCTACCTGTAGGAAATTTATTTTAATGTAAAGGTTTGCCACCCTTCCAGAAGTTTGCAATAATTAATAATAATATAAAAGCTTGATGGTAAGTTATAGCTAACATAAAACTCAATTTTTAAGTATTTCATGTAATTAGGGCATTGCTACTTTTAAGCATCAGGCTATAGGTAGATTTTTAAAATATTAGATTTGGGCCAGGCATGGTGGCACATGCATTTAACCCCAGCACTTGGGAGGCAGAGGCAGGCAGATCTCTGTGAGTTCGAGGTCAGCCTGGTCTACACAGAGAGCTCCAGGCCACCTGGGGCTACAGGGAAACCCTGTCTCAAAAAGACCAAAAATAAAATAAAACATTAAATTTAAAAGCATATATTTATACTCAGTTAATATGATGAATTCTATGTTATGAAGAACTAGCCAATGCTTCTACAGAAATCTTAAATTCAGGTTGGAAGGATGGCTCAGTGGTTAAGAGCACTGTCTGCTCTTGCAGAGGACCCAGGTTTGGTTCCCAGCACCCACATAGCAGTTAATAACCATCCAAAATTCTAGTTCCAGAGGAATCCGATGCCCACTTCTGACCTCCCAGGCTTTGCATGACATGGGTACACTTACATAAATGCAGGCAATACACTCATACACATAAAAAATTTTAAAAAAGAAATCTTGGCCTGGAGAGATGGCTCAGCGGTTAGGAGCACTGACTTCTCTTGCAAAGGACCTGGGTTCAAATCCCAGCACCCACACTGTGGCTACGAACTGTCCTTAACTCCAGTTCCAGGGGAATCCGACGCCCTCTTCTGACCTCCGTGGCATTGCACAACATGGGTGCACTCACATACATGCAGGCAATACACTCATACACATAAAATAAAAATAATAAAAAATTTAAAAAAGAAGAAATCTTAAATTCATTAACACTTAAAAACTAGTCTACATACTGGAAAGTCAAATTTCGTCTATTGTTGCCACACCTACAGAAAGCACTTCCCTTTGATATATTCAACAGATAATCTTGACAATGCTTACTAAGGAAACATAAGAAAGAAAAATATTGAGTTTATAAATATGTACATACTTAAATGGACTTTCAATAGATGTTGTTGTGACTTTAAAGTGCTTATATCTTCTGGCATTCATTCTTTCATTTGTGGTAATACCTAAACACGAAATCTAAGAGGAAAGAAAAAGTAGCCTGTTATTCTTTCTAAATATCTTACATTTAAAAAACAAAGATTCTCAAGAAGACTAGCATGGAATGAAAAATGATGCAATCTGGTTTTCTTTTCCATAAGAAGATCAAGCCAATTTACACAGTAGCATTGAAACTGAGAAAAGTAGCCAATTAAATACAAAAAAATATGAAAAAACATTACTTAATATTCTGCACATAACAAACACTGTGTATACAGAAAGCCTTTCCAATGAGTGGCACAGCCTATAATCCTAGCAGTCAGGAAGCTAAGGCAGGGAGATCTCAAATTCAGGGTCAGTATGGTCTACTTAGTGTGATACTGTCTCAAAAGGGGGGGGGGGATGAGAGTATTCCTTAAAGATTTTTGAATAAATACTAACATTTGTATATAATAAAATAGTATCATTAAAATGAACACAAAATTAATGGCATCACAATCTAGCTCACACATGTCCAACTGCACATATCTGAATCAGGATTAGGAATAAAAGTTTTTGCTGAAGGCAGAATGAGAAAACAAAGAGGCAGAAATGGAAAGCAAATAAAAAATAAAATTGGTTCTTAACAAGCCAGGGTGATTAGCAAAAGACAGTATTATCTCTTTTTGGTTTTTTAGACAGGGTCTCCCTGTAGCCCCAGCTGGCCTCAATCTCACTGAGATCCACCTGTCTCTGCCTCTGCCTCCTGAATGCTGGGATTAAAGGTGGCACCACCACACCTGGCTATATATTATCTCTAAAAGAGTTTTTAAGAGTTTCATAGTTAACATACCAAGAACAAAGCACTTGTACACACCTGGTACATCTGACACATGAGTAACACAGCTACCCACATAAAATGAAATACACTGTTCAGAAACATCCAAAACATCCAAGGTGAACATGTGGCAATCTGAGTAATATAGGTCCAAAATCCATCCTTGGTGTAAGTGGTCTCACAGTGAAGGCCCCAGTCTGAAAATAGAAGACACTTGACTCACATTTACTCAGTCATCATCACCTAGTGTGTTGACATCACTTAGAAAACACAGCTAACAGTCTAGATTTAATTCATGACATATAACAGTAATTTTTAATGATAATAATTCCATAATATAGTAATGAAGAAAACTGCCAAAGAACTAGAAAAGCAGCTGCCAAACTTAAAAAGAAATCAGTGTACATTAAAAACAAATGGATTTATTAGACTGGTATTACACACTCTCAATACTAAGAACATTTTCTTAAAACAAGATAAACAAGAGAGTCTTTTGTGGGTGGGAAGAAAATGGGGGGAGGGAGTCATATAACTCAGTAAGGCAGGATTTTCCTACACGAAATCTGGTATAAAGGACTACTGACACACATGACTCTTACTGGTATGAAAGTGACCTCTACTAGGTATGCTGATCCAGAAATTGGGTGAGGCTCTTTGACCGCATCTTTTTCTTAATCTATTTTGGGAGGCAGCCTCCTTTTATTTACTACTATTTCTGAAGAGGAGGATCAAGAAATAGTTCTTCCAAGATTTATTTTAAACAAGGTTCTAAAACATGTTTATGCTATACCTTACCAAGGCCCAAAGCACAGAAACTAATATCTTCATTTAAACTTTTAAAGGCACTAAACCCATACAAAATGAATGGCAACTCACCTTTAAAAAGTAACTTCTGTTACCTACTAATATTTCTCAATAGGCAATAATTATACCTTACTTTTGAAAATATTTTAAGTTCTACACAAACAACTCTAAGTATATTTAACTGTTTGTTAAAGAAAAGGAACTAGCACAATCACAGAATCTACTTGAGTAAAGCAAGCACATGATGGAAAATGTTGGTGTATTTTACCCAGAAGCTTTTCAAAGCTTACTAAACCAACAAAGAACATACACATCAAAAGGTGGCTAACTGTTCACTGTTTGCTTGTACTGTATACTGAACATGTTTGGTAGATCTTCATTTTATTTTTTTCCTTTATGCTTCATTAGGTGCCCTAAACCGTAATTTTTTGTTAAGACTTTTGTCATTACATTAATTTGCTAATACAGTAAATATAATTATTGCAAACATTAATGTTTTAAGAAGGCAAAAACTAATTGTACTCACAAGAAATACAACCATAAATCATCCAGCAGATCATAAAAAGCAAGAAGAATAGGTAGCCCATAAAGTATCTATGGTTGCCTGCACCTAAAACAACACAGAAGCAATTCTTTTCAGCTAAGAAAAAACAACTGGTAATACACCTTTGGGGGTATGCTATGAAAGGTGTGATACAACTTGGACAATTACATATATTATTTATTTTGTAAAATGGCTTTCAAGAAAATGTTTTAATAATTTTAAAATAAGAATGCTTGCAATTACACACATGATGTGATGACAGCAATGATGTCCATTCTGAAGGCAAGGGAGTCCCAAGAATTACACCAAACGCACTAATGACTTTCAGTCCTAGTCTTTGTCATGTGAAAGTCACAATATCTCTGTTCCATTTTACAATCCCAGATTTTCAAATGTTTCTCTCAAGTCAAGCAGTCTCTGTAACGTTTCCCTTCTGTTATCTCTTAAAATTTCCAAAGTCATCCTAAGAGTTAGCTCATCTCCTCAGACTGCACCATCAGCACCAAGGTATTATGTAGTTGCTATCTGTCATTCTCTGCCTCTGCACACAACATCTTTTCAAGTATTATTATTGCCTTACTTTCTCCAATTTATATTTGCCTCATCAGATGAATTTCATTGTTACTCAATGGAGAAAGCAGGGCAGGTAGGTGACCAGAGAATGCTTAGAGAAACATCAGGCATTTCCAGGCAGATTTTTTTTTTAAATGACCACCACCCATCATACATGCACCTCTATGAGTTGCTGTATAGACAATCAGAAGATAGTTTAGGGGATATAGGCTGTGAGAATAACTTTCCATTAACTACTTTAACATTTATTGTACATTATTAATTGCTTAGATTAAATGAACAACTTAAATGAACTGCTACATAACTTACCTACACAGTTACCCACCCATGGGCAATGATGATCAAATTTTGCTATACAGCGGTTGCACACACCACAATGTTTGGACCTCACTGGTTTCCGAATCTGTTAACAGGCACATTAAAGGATTATGAAAGACACTGTATATAGGAAAGAAAAGCTGAACATTTATATGCTCAGAATACAACTGTGAAAAACATGGAACTATAAATTTTGATAATTATACCAAGGTTTCCAGTTTCCAAATCAATAAATAAATTTACTATTCTTTTGTTTAAAAGAAAAATAACTATAGTACCAAACACTTTAAGAAGGTAAAACCAGCCAGGCATTGTGGCACATGCCTTTAATCCCAGGACTCAGGAGGCAGAGGCAGGTGAATCTCTGTGAGTTCAAGGCCAACCTGGTCTATGTAGCAAGCTCCAGGTCAGTTGAGGCTATAGGGAGACCCTGTCTCAAAAAAAAAAAAACAAAACAAACAAAAAGGCAAAACTATTCCATAATATAAACTCTTACAAATAAAAAATAAGGGGTTGGAGAGATGGCTCAGCAGTTAAGAGCACTGGCTGCTCTCGTAGAGAACCTGGGTTCGGTTCACAGCACCCACAAAGCAGCTGACAACCATCCGTAACTCTAGTTCCAGGGGATCCAACACCTTCTTCTGACCTCCACGAGCACTGCATGACATGAATACATTTATATACCGGTAGACAATACACTCGTATACATAAATATAAATTAAAAAAAAATTTTAGGCTGGGTGTCGTGGCACACGCCTTTAATCCCAGCACTCAGGAGGCAGAGGCAGGCGGATCTCTGAGTTCAAGGTCAGCCTGGTCTACATAGTGAGTTCCAAAACAACTGGGGCTACATGGAGACCCTGTCTAAAAAAGACCCCCCCCGCCTAAAAAATAATTAATTAAAAAAATAAAAAAGAATGGAGCAGAATCATTAATTTACAAAAGTTAGTAACTAAGGTCATAATTTTTGTTGTAATACTGGGGACTGAACCTAGGACATCACATATACCAGACAAATGTTCTACCAATGAGCTAGATCTCCAAAATTAACTAAGAATTAAAGAACAATTTTATATGTTAGAGTAAATTGTAATATTTAATTCATAGTCTTCAAGTTTCTAAATAATAAAAACATTACTCTCTAAACTATATGAAGGCTCATCTCATTAATGGTCATGATACTGGTTGTTGTTTAATAAGTTTCTTTTGGTAAAAGGAAGGTCACATTAGAACTGTGAAAGATAACTTTTAAGATTGAAATTATTTATGAAAATATTTTCCCCCAATTAACAAATTCAGCAAGAAACAGTAATTTCTCTTTAAGTGCCACCTGAAATTTCAAATTAAGGTTCAGCACTTCCCCTCTTGGAACTGATGATCGTATCTAAGAAAGCAGATGCTTACAGTTTAATATAGTCGCTGCTGTTCAAAAAACAAACTACACACAGACACACACATGCCATTATTTTGGTTTTGACAGGCTCTAAAAAGTGGATGTTTTATGAATGTCTTCAAATGCTACTTTAATCTATATTATGTATGCTAATTCAGTCAAGGGAATGCAAAAACTTATTGGCAATCTTCAAAGGGTTGTAACTTGAATGTTGGATTTATGACAAGAGCTAGAGTTACTAACCTACAACAGAAATAAATTTCATAATGTCTTTCATTGGTCATATTGGTGTTTCAATAAAAACACTACCATTTCCCCAAGGTTATAGACTGTTTCTGAGGTACCAAGAAAAGGTAGACTGCAGTTCTTATACCATCAAAAATGATCTGTGGACCAAAGGATGAGCTGTTCACAGATGTGAGACTAAATATATTAGGGAAAATAGTAGAAAAACTACCCCGCTTCCAGTACTCAGCTGTATTTTCCCTTGAGCAACACCACTTACAATCTGAGCAAGAGTAGCCAATTAAAATGTGAGGTGGTCTCAAAGTTCTTGCACACAGCAGTATCCTAGACTTGTTACCAATGTGAAATATTTCTAGAAAGTTCTGATGAACATGTCTTCTTAGGAACTTATCTCTTTTCGAAGTAAAATCTACCCATACAATGACAACTAGGTCTTTGAGCTAAATCATTTTATCATAGAATATGTTCTTTACAATGAGTTATCTATCCAGAAGTACATGGTTTATAACATAAGTGATAATAAAAAGTATATGTCATGATGACAAAAAGCCTTAATCTTATCATCAGTTATTTAACTAGAAACTGCTATCTGTATTGAGTGACTGTATTATTTGTATGTCATATGGAAGTACATGCACAGTGTACACTTGATTTTGTGTTATAGGCTATCTCCACAGAATAGAGATGTATCAAATAATTTTAAAAAATAGTCAAAAGTTATCCTTTGTAAAACACAGAAAACAAAACTTTTTAAAAGAATTCCTGAATGTGCAAATAAGTCTAGTCAGTGTCCTTAAATCACTACCAAAAGGAAAACAATGCATATTTCTGACACTCAAAATTACAAATTAAGAATTAAGGCTATGCTTCAAAATCTTGTTCCACAAGCTTAAGGTAAGTCAACTATTTTATTGACTTATTTACTATCATGCATTACTTAATAACAAGACATTAGTTTATTTGCCTCGTCGGTCCTCTGCAGGTACTGCACAACGCGCGTACACTTACATACATGCAGGTATTAACACTCATACAAATAAATAAAAAAATATATTTTTTTTGAGACAGGGTCTCCCTGTAGCCCCAGCTGGCCTTGAACTCATTATGTAGACCAGGATGGCCTTGAACTCACAGAGACCCACCTGCCTCTGCTGGGACTAAAGGCCATGCCCGGCAAAAATAATTTTAAAAGAGGTCTACAAGAAAATAAAAATTCGTATTACTATAATTAATCATAAATATTGCTTTAATGTATCTTTATGTGCAACTTGATTGAAAACCACTACTTTTAAATTTAATAATGTAGTGTCCAAAGCTGCAGACACTCTCAGATAAATATAGATTGTATTTTGTTAGAAGGCTATGTTGTTTGAAAAACTATCAACTGAATTTTTTTTTTTTTTTCCTTTTTCAGAAAGGGTCTCCCTGTAGTCCCAGCTGTCCTGGAACTCTCTATGTAGATCAGGCTGGCCTTGAACTCAAGAGATTCACCTGCCTCTGCCTCCCAAGTGCTGGGATCAAAGGTGTGTGCCACCATGCCTGGCTCAACTAAATTTTTACACTGTGACTTTTTTTTTCCTTTGTGGTCTTTTTGAGACAAGGTCTCCCTTTAGCCCCAGCTGGCCTACAACTATGTAGACTAGGCTGGCCTTGAACTCACAGGGATCCACCTGTCTCTGCCTCCCTAGTGCTGGGATTAAAGGCCTGTGCCACATGCCCCGCTACACTGTGAGTTTTAAATTCAAGAAGAAATATTCTTAAACTGTAGTTAAAATTACTATGAATCACAGCAAACTTTCGGTTTTAAATATTACTAATTTTTTTAACTGAGTTACATTTTAAACAATATTCTATTCATCATTTTAGTTTATGTGTATGACTGTACTGCCTGCATTTATGTTAAGTGCACCCATATCATGTAATGCCGGAGGAGGTCAGAAGAGGGATCGAATCCCCTGAAACTGGAGTTTGAATGGTTGTTACCCACATGTGGGTGCAAGGGTAGCTGGTGCTCTTAACTGTTTGAACCATCTCCCCAGCCCCAAGTTACATCGATAAGAGATTTAAAAAAGAGTGAGAATGAGTTTGAGTAAGTGGACTTCTGAAGCACAGCCAAAGTCTACTACTAAGAGATCACCCACACGGGAAAGAAATGTTCTTTGATCACTTTCCTCTTACACCAGACTAAGCAATACTTGGAAGGAATGCAGGAGGAAAGGGAAGAAGGTAGTGAAGCTTCACTCAGAACAAGGAATTCTTTTTGTTTCCTATACCCAACACCTCTGTGTGTGCTACTCAAGAGGAAGAAATGGGAGAGAGGAAAAAAAGAAAAAATACTACCAAGCAGGTACTGCAGAATATACTGAGGTCCAGACTTCCAGTCTCTGCAAGTTCAACTATAGTCTGCGAATTAAAAAAGTAAATATTTGATTCAAAGTTGAATAATGCTCACAATTCTTTTGCCATCACTATGAATCAATAAACAGGATCTCATCTTTGATTTCCCAACATTTTAAAGCTCAGAATAAGAAATGAAATCTTTATTCATTTAGTTCTGTTATTTCATTACAACATGATTACTGAGGAGCTTCAGAGTCGTAATTTCTATGAAGTTTCCCCTAAAAGGGAACAGAATATAGAAACTGGTACTGCCAATTAATTGTGGAATGATTCATCAAGAGCTGTTTGGTTTTTAAACAGCTTTCTGGTTTTGCTGTTTTGTTTCTTCAGGTAGGGTCTTACGTAGTCCAGGTTAGCCTCAAACCTGCTATGTAGCTACTCTGGCTTTGAAGTCTTGTTCCTCCTACTAACACCCCTGAATGCCAGAGTTACATGACTACATGGCCACACCCAGCTAAAATAGCTCTTAAAATAATTTAAAATGCCTATGCCTAGTCCGTTTCTTTACCTACAGAATATATGAATTTAGCTTCAGGCATCTGTGTCATAGGAAAAAGAGGCCCTGTGTCAGTCATACAGAAGTGCTTTAGCTACTGGATGGTGTATCCACCTGCACTATCTGTTGGTTTACTGGCCTTCTAGTTTAACATGTTATTCAACAAACATTTTCTAGATGGTTGAAGAGATGTTTCAGATACTACATTCACCCCTGAAAGCAATCACAGTAGCCTTGATAAAGAAATGTTAAATCATAAGATGCCACAGAACTATAGGGACAAGCATAACAAGAGCTCTAGGGTAAGCACCACAGAATATATATATTAACTCAATTTTGCCTGCAACTTCTTTGATTCTGAGTTCCTTCTTTCTTACTCCAAACCTGCTATTAACACTGATACTCCCAGCAGTTAACCAGTTCTTTGCTACCTTTTTCTTTTGTTCTTCTGTAGCTTTAATAATCCCTGGATCTGATTTCCAAGATTTTCCAAAATTGTAGAAAAGTGCAACACTATTGGCAAGGAAGGGAAGATGAATAAATAAAAAGTTGAGATGTACCTAAAGTTAAGGAATCTAAAGAAGCAACAATAAGTAAGTTTTTGTGTATAAATCTATAATCCATAATTTTATACATAAGAACATCTAGGGCTGGAAACATGGCTTAGTGGTTATAAGCACTGACTACTCTTGCAGAGGAACCAGGTTCAGTTCCTAGGATCTGCATGGCAGCTAACAACCACAGAAAACTACAGTTCCAGGGAACCGAGGCCCTCTCCTGGCTTTTGTGGGCATTGTATGACATGGGTGCACTTATATACACATGTAGGCAAAACACTCATACACATAAAATTTAAATAAATAAAATTTAAAAAAGAACATCTACTGACTGAAAATTGAAAGTTTTATAAATCAAAATATACTTTCCTATAGTGTTCATAACTAAGCACAAAAAGTAAAAATATGATTTTTCCAATAAAATTTAAATCACACAGCCTTACTTTAAATGTCATTCAACTGATTTAAAAATTCAGTGAATAAAAAAAAATCAGTGAATAGATTAAGTGATATTTCTTTTGACAAAAGTGAAGGGATTTTCATATTTAAAGTCAGACATACACTTTTCTTCATGTACCAAATTATTTATAAATCCATCAAAGTCTTTAGCTACCAATGTTGGTTAGCTTTGTCAACTTGACACACCTAGAATCACCTGAGAAGAGTCTCAATGAGAGACTGTCTACACTGGGTAGGCCTGTGGGTACCTCTGTGGGGACTAGCTTAAGTCAATTAATGCAGGAAGACCCAGCTCACTGTGGACAAGCACCATTCCCTAAGCATGGGGTCCCTAACTACACAAAAGGAGCACAAGCAAGCAAGAAAGCGAGTATGTGTGCATTCACTTTTCTCTGCTCCTGACTGTAGATGTGACATAATCAGCTGTCTCAAACACCTGCCTCAAGGGAAATTATGTCCTTTGCTTTTTATGAACACATTCAAGATTATGTTAATTTTAGGAAACATATTTATACACCTTCTTAAAACAGCAATGTTCTTTGTCCACAATTTTTCTACTTAATGAAAATACAACAAATGCACTTAGCATTTATAAATATACATGAAGAATCAAAAACTATTTTAAATATTATAAAAACGGTTGCTTGAGCAATACATTCCTGAGATATAGAATATCTGGTTTATTCAACAGCATTTTAAGATATTATATGAGTACAATTAACACATAACATGCTGAAAGGTTTGCAACATTAGCACATATACACAGTTTATATTTCTCATGAAACACAAAGAAAAAAAAAAAAGAACACCCTGAATCAAAGAATCCTACATCTGTTGGGTAAATACCAAAATACCAAACAACCACATAAAATACAAAAGAAGCAAAGAGGAAAAATACTAGTTATCAGCACCTGCTATATTCATGTGATTTCTCTTTTCAAATTTGCTATGTTTCCTCTTTACCTTTATCATCCTTATTTCATGAAATATAGAGGTAGAGCCAGCAAAGGGTAGGTAAGAAGTCACACGTTCAGCTTCTAACAGCTGTTCAGTTCTTTTAAAAGCAGAACTTGGTAAATGTCATGTGCAAAGTATGCTGGATTATCCAGGAGTAGCTACTCTACCGAGTCTCACAGTTTCACAAAGGAGTTTTCACGGAAAGATACAGCCTGGATTCAACAAACTGAGGGCCAGCTAGCAGCTCAGCATATGACTAGACCGAAAGGGCTATTTAGGGGCTGCAGAGATGGCGCAGCAGTTAAGAGCACTGGCTGCTCTTATAGAGGACCCAGGTTCAGTTCCCAGCACCTACACAGCGGCTAACAACCATCTTTAACTCTAGTTCCAAGGGATAGAATGTCCTCGTCTGGCTTTGCATGCACGGGTGCACTTACATACATACAGGCAAAACACCCATATACATTAAAATAAATAATAAAATAAAATAACAAATAATAAAGGATTATTTAGGAATTAGGTATCTGATGAATGTAAAAATATTTCTTCACTTGTCCTTTAAATAAATCAGGTTATCTTTAAATGGGAATTTGATCTTAACTTTGGAAGTAAGTTAAAAAGCAAAAATTTGAAATTAGATTTTAAAATAATAAATGTCTACACATAGCATTGTTAAAATAAAAAATTAGAGAAAGTTAGAAAGCTCTAAAAGTAGTGCACAGAGACCAAAATATAATCTTCAAATAACTACAGTTGGTTTTGATATTTTACGCTTTTAAAAAGTATAATTGGCAGCCAGGCATGGTAGCATATGCCTTTAGTCCCAGCACTCAGGAGGTAGAAGCAAGAGGATCAAGGCCAGTCTTGGTTACATGGCAAGTTTGAAGCTAGCCTAGACTCAAAGAGACCCTGCCTCAAAAACAGAACACAACAAAACAATAAAACAAAACAAATCTGACTAAAGTGAAACCAAAAATTTACTAAAACTGAACAGTTTAGTATTAGAAAAACAGTATTAGAAAAATACGCACCATTGAAAACATCATTTTTAAAAGCAATGTTTTGGAAAAAAGAATAGACATTTATAAAATATGCCTTTATCATAAAACCTTATTAAATAAACTTTTTCTACATGAAAATAGCAAAAATTGACATTGGCTTCATTCTTTGACAGGTACATGTGACCTAAAAATTCAAAGTATCTAGTTTTGAAAAAGTACATTGATAATTTGGTGATGCTTGTTACAGCACTGCATATTTTCACTGAAGCCAAAGAGATTTAGTATCTTTAAGAGATTAAGTGCAGCGTACTAAGTGAAATAAATTGTGAGGTTAAGAAACCCTTATAAGTCAACATGGTGGCTCATGCCTATGATCCCAACACTTGGGAGGTAGAGGCAGGCGGATCTCTGTGAGTTCAAGGCCAACCTGTTTACATAGCAAGTTCCAGGACAGCTGGGGCTACAGGAGATCCTGTCTCAAAAAAAGAAAATCCTTAAAAGTCACATGGTAGCTCATGCCTATGATCCCAACATAATGAAGCTGAGGCTGAAGGACTGCTAGAATTCAAAGCATGCCTGTGCTACACAACAAGGTCCCATCTCAAACAACAAAAACAGAAATAAAAAAATCCATAGAGAAAATAGTGTGCAACTAAAATATAAAAATCACATTTTGATACAAAAGTTAAAAATACTTAAAAGAGAAATTTTGATCCCAGTTTTACCAAAGATTGGCTAATGCAGCCCTGGGTTCCTCATGCCCACTTTTCTCATCAATAAAATGAAAGAAACAATAAACTTAGACAACACAGATAAATGCCTTTGAAAAACTAGGTAAGTGAGCTAGTATTATTTGTAATTGTTAAAAAGCTTTCAAAATTTTGTTTATGAAACAGGATCTCCACATGTACCTAGATGACCTAGAACTCACTAAGATCAGGCCGGCTTTGAACTCAGAAATCATCCACCTGCCTCTGCCTCCTGAATGCTGGGATTAAAGGCATGCATCACCATTCCCAACAAAAACAGCTTTTTAAAAGCAACCTACTAAATATTAAACATATATAAACATCATTTATATTAGTTTACATTTTTCTAGGAATACTGCTTTACTGTAACAAATTGTGAATTCAATCCTAACATATTATTAAACATTTGCTTAAATAATATTTTGTTTAAATATGCTCTTGTACATCAAAGGATATCATTCCAAAACCAGAAGAACCATGTCACATACATCCAGAATTTAGTTGCCAAATATATCCCAAGGGGCAACGCACTATGCATTGAATGATCAAAAAAGGACCTGTAAGACAGTAAGACAGTTTTATAAAATATAAACTCTATATTTCATTATAAAATGAATATGGAAATTAAAATTATACAAGTTCTGTGTAGTAGCACAGAGTCCAAGCTGCTTAAACACTGAGACTGTTTTCACAGTAATAATGAATTCAACAAGATTATTTTAATCTACCAAGTTAAAAATCTTATTTCACATACTTTTATTTCACATTCCTTTTAGAAGGAAGTAAATACTGAAAATTGTTTATTAAATATAGCCAGGATTCACAGACCATGTAGATCAGGACGTCTTGGTGTCTTCTTATCTATACTCTTTTTCAGAGTTCCTAGAAATATTGCACTAACATTAACAGAGTTCAGGCTCTTCTGAGAATAAACACTAGCATATTATTAGTCATTCTTATTCCTGTGTGAAGTATCTTCACAACTCTTTTCTAAAAATAAGATACAAAAAGAAGGCAAATGAAATAAGAAGTTCTGGATTACAGCACTCAGGAGGCAGAGGCAGGCGGATCTCTGTGAATTCAAGTACAACCTGGTCTACATAATGAATTTCAGGTCAGCTGGGGCTACAGGGAGACCTGTCTCAGAAAAAAAGAAAAAAAGAAAAAAAGAAAAGGAAAGAATCTTTTTGTTTTTGTTTTTTTTTTAACAACTATGCCTAACTGTGTAGACTCTAGCCTACCCTGCTAGTAAAATAAATTATCTTCATTAACCAAAGAAAATATAATACCTACAGAAAGATGAGCTCAAGTATAATTATCTAAAATTAAATGTGAATTATTGCATTTACTGAACTGAAGTTGACTTCTAAAGAAATAGTTTAATAGCTGGGTGTGGTGGCACACACCTTTAATCCCAGCACTTGGGAGGCAGAGGCAGGCTCTGTGAATTTGAGGCCAGCCTGGTCTACTGAGCAAGTTCCAGGACAGCTGGGGCTACAGGAGAGTTAACTATTTCTGAGACTGTCTTTAGGCTAAAAAATCACATGCCAGAATTTTTCACATTAGAGAAATTTTAGAATAATTTCAATGGCAATGCTTAAAAAAGCCTGTAAGATTTCACATATTATCAAAAATTCTTGAACATACAAAGCATTAATTTTATATAGCAGGGAACAAATTAGTCTTTTGCAAAAAGAACATGCTTACTTGGAAAGAAACTGTACTGTAGCCCAAACGCCACCATACATTAGCCCTTTAATGAGCCAAGAATCAATATTCAGGTCTGCGATAAACCCAACCAGCCAAATAACTAGGAAAGGAGTTCCAAGCATTACTTTCTGCCGAAATTCCTGTAAAAACAAGTATTAAAAAGTTTTTGTGCAACTAGAAAAGCCTTAGTAAGATGAACATAACACAATACTTAATTCTGACTGCTTTAATAATAAGAATATAGTACAACTTAATATTAGTCAAATTGTGATTATTGTCAAGTTAGAAGGCATACTATTATTTAAATACATTAAAAAATACTAAACTAATTTCTTCCTTTTTAGTGGAAAAGTAATTTTTTTCTAAAGAATCTAGATTCTGCGTTTAGGTAAATGTTTTAAGTTTTGAAATCTTATTATTAAAATTAGTTGTGAGCCAACAACTTCTTGTTTAAAACTCAAAGGTATATAGAAGAAAATGGGATTTTCGATGAAACAGCCAGGAATGGAAGTTTTTTCTCTAAAAGTTATGACATATCACAAACAAGAATGAAAAGCAGGGCTGGAGAGATGGCTCAGCAGTTAAGAGCACCAGTTGTTCTTGCAAAGGACCCAGGTTCTGTTCCCAGCACCCACATGGTAGCTAACAACCATCTTTAACTCCAGTTCCAGGGGATCTGATGCCCTCTTCTAGCCTCCGCAGGCACTGCAATACCAGTGATATACATACATATATGCAGGCAAACATTCATACACATAAAAAATAATGAAAATCTCAATTAGAGGTATAGTACTTAGTTTTAAAAGACATGCATTAAGACTAAAATGTTTCATAATTACCATGCCAAAAATGAACATACACACAGAATACTTTATCAAATAAAGACAAGCTGAACCAATTAAAATCTGTTGTCAATAAATATTTAAGCCTCTTTATATGTGCCCATCCTTCTTAAATATCACACAACACAAACAGACCATAAACAGAGCTCTGAAAAATTTTACTGATTACTCTCGTTTTATTTTAGCTTAAGCAATATTTTAAAAATTACAGGCTAGAGACATGGCTCAGCAGTTAAGAACACTGGTTGCTATTGCAGAGGACCTGGATTTGATTCCCAGCACCCACGTGGCGGCTAACAACCATCTGAAACTCTAGTTCAAGGGGATCCGATGCCGTCTTCTGACCTCTGTGGGCACTGCACAAGACAGGTGTACTTACATACATGCAGGCAATACACTCATACACATTAAAATTTTTTTTTAAATAATAAAATAAATTTTTAAAAATTACATTGGGAGGGGCTGGAGAGGTGGCTCAGTGGTTAAGAGCACTGGCTTCTTTTGTAGAGGACCACCCACATGGCAGATAACTACCATTCCTAACTCCAGTTCTAGGAGATCCAATGCCCTCTCTGGCCTCTGTGGGCATTGCACAACACAGGTGCACTTACACACATGCAGGCAATATAAACTTATACACATAAAATAAAAATAAATAAAATATTTTTTTAAATTACATCGGGAAATCACCAAGTTAAGGTCTGTGAATATTTACACTAATTACAGACTGAAAACCTTTCAGTCATGTGTTACCTTATCAGCTTTTAGCTTTCGAAGGAAAGATGGATTGTCATATCCTTTTGCTTGCCTTGCTTCTTGCAAGTGATTGATCATCCACACATTTTTCCTTTGCTTTGCCAAATCAAGTGCTGATTCACCCTGATAATGTAAATAGAAGAAATTCACATTAAAAATAAAACTCATTTTCACTAATGTTTAAACTTCCATAAAAATAAATGGACTACATTACTCATTAACAATAGTTTCTGGTGCTGGGTCAAGGTAATTTAAAGACCTATATCATTACATACTTGCTATCATTTCCCATTAAAAATACAATAGAAAATGCATTTTCTCATCTTAGTCTATGATTCTATTCTTGCTTGCATCTTGACAAATTAAAGAGCAAATCAAAAAGTAGGTATTTGAGTACCTGCTGGATCAGAGGCCATCATTTCGCTAATCAATTATTGCATACCAGCAATACTGATTACTATAAAACTTCCTGCTACATACAGTATCAAGTTGTCAGAAATCTTTGTTTTACTTTAGTGGTGATAAGAGCCTTAAGAAGAGAATAGGCAAGAAAAATAAAAATCAACCTTGACCTCTGCTACTGCTGTACCTGCATTCAACCAAACTTTAAACTCATTCACTCACACAGAAATTTCCAAAGAGAACAAGAGAAGTGACTGAAAAAACATTTTAGTTTCAAGTTAGGAGGTGATAGATCCCTTTAATCCTAAGAGAAAGAATGCCAGGGAGCTTAAGTAAACAGAACTAAAATCTATCAGAAAGAAACAAGAAATACACGTTCCCAATTCTAGATGTTTCTTTTTGCATCTATTAGTTTAAAATTTCTATTTTTCTTTTGTAAACGAGACACCTACGTTTCCAATCTATTTAATGTCCTCCTCTATTTATGTTTCTTTAAATAAAAAAGTTAGATTAAAATTGTTTGCCAAAATTTGAAGTTTGAAAAAGACTTAAATTTTACTTCAAAATATTGGATTAAAAAAATAAAGGAACAGGGAGTCCTAAGGTACTTTATTTAGGAGAGATGATTTCTTATCAAGTATAGAATATAATTTTTTTTTTAAATTAAAAAAACCACTACCACACACCAACAAATATTACAAAACAAAACAAACAATAAAAACCAATGGTATTTTAAAAGGACTAGGCTATTCTAGGTGAGTCTCATAAATAGGGATATTTATTTTAAATATTTCCTTGCTTATTTCAGAGTTCCATTACCTAAGTTGTCAGAACCAGCTAATCAATCCAAACTATAAATATTACCTGAATAATAGCAATCCCTTGGGTAACAACTCCCAGAGAATATCCTGCAGTTGCCTCGGTCCAGCTGAGCATCCCTTCCACTAGAGGGCCATGTGACACCTAAGGATTGCCTAGACAAAAAAATTGAGGGAGCTTTAAAAAAATCAACTACTACTCCTCTAGTCATCTGACTATGTTTGTATAGTTCTTTTATTCAGCTGGTAAAATAAACAAACAATTAAAGAATGATACTAAAACCAGGGTTCTGAGTCAAGTCTATATCTGGTTACTCCATGTCAAGCCAAAATAATAAATACTAACAAAAGTAACATCAGCAAGAACCCACATGGAGTATTATAGACTATGTCAGTAGTAATAAAGAGACTGAGGTGGAAGATCACTTGAAGCTGTGCTTCAGTGGACTAAATTTCATTGTCAAAACAGGAAAACTGCTTGGAGACCATCTAGGTCAGGCATTCAAGAGATAGTGAACAATTACGTTCTCAAGAAACTACATGAGATCTCTCAGTCAATTAATGCAGCTCAATAATTTTATATTCTAAGCAGGCTAAAATCTATGTTCTTTGACAAATTTAGAAAGAAAAGATTATAAATGCTTGGGTTGCACTCAGATTAGTTCTTTCCAAACTCAATTTTCTAAATTTACCTATTTAACTATAACTAAGGAATAAAATATTATTTTTACAAATTCACAAAAGACACTATTAAAAAGGATTATGGCATAAGCACTAAATTTGTTTTAATAGTCTTAGTAAACAAATTACTACCCCCTACCCTATTGCTGCTATTTAAAATCATTACCAAGGGCCTTGGTTCTTAAACTCTTTTGACTTCTCTCTGATGGAAGCCAATGATCCTCTTCCCAGAAAAATGCTGATACAAGTAACTTTTTCTAGTAATCCCATAGTCTACCTCACCCCAGATACACTGGGGACCTGATACATGGTATTTAGCTACTTCTGATCCTGCCAAATACCCAAACAGCCATTTTAAAGTTATCTATCATTATTAAAAGTCTTCAAACTAAGTGCTGTTCTTTGATGGAAAATAAAAACCCACCCATTTGCTTTAAATTCTAAAGGAATCAAATTCTTTTCTCAAACAATTTACAAGGGCAATCTCTAGTTAAGAAACAGATTTCAAAGAAACGCAACCTTATTTTAAAAACAATTATTTTAGAATAGGATCAAATAACTAATAATAACAAAGAATACTTGTTTCATTTTGTTTGAAAAATACTTTTTATAGCTTTTAAAATCAAATCTAGATTATGTTTCCTAGAACTCAAAATGAAAAACTATACAGTATATTTCTGAACAAAAAAATTTATGTTGTTGGGAATTTTTTTTTTTTTTTGAGACAGGGTCTCAGCTATGTAGCCCTGGTTGCCCTGGAATTCACTATATAGACCAAGCTGGCCTAGAACTTAAGAGATCTGCCTGCAATGCAGCCATGTCTGCCTTTATCTGTTTTTAAAATGAATTTTTCCTTTCAAAATTTTTAATGATCTAAATAGCTTCATTCAGTACACAGTGAAAAGGCATTACTTCGCATTAAATATTATTGAAACCGAATGAATTTCTATCACTTTTGCCCCCAAATAGTACTTTTTCTTCACTATTCACAATCTCAACATGTGTCACAACAGTTTATTAAAACAGAACCCCACATCACCAATGATGTTTCCTTACATCCTCATATCTAATCTACCTTGTCATTTCTACTCTAAAATATTGTAATTATCTCTAAAGCCTTTCAGTTATCTCCATCTTTACCTCTCGGATCCCAGACTAAGCTAATATATATAACATATATATTTTTTACAACAGCCTAATTTTCCCATTTTTCTCTTGTCTTAATGCTTCAATATAGTCTTCTTCAACCAAGATAACAGTTAAAACAAAAATTATATCCTATGCCAATCTATACAAATACTTCCGCTTCCTGTGACTTGAGAAAACAATCAAGCTTCTTACAGCACTGGGAGCTCTGGTACCTGACTCACACGTCACTTCTTAATTGCTCAATGTACTCTGGCCTTGCTCTCTACATGGGAAGTTTGCTTCCCATTTATCTCTGCATAACTGATTCTCATCATAATTTTCAAGGAAAATGTCATCTCCTTAGAAGAATTCTCAAATGGAGGGACTAGATCCCTGACAGTCTGATAGGACAAGGGTCACTGATAAGTAACAAGGATGGCAAACTTTCAGATGCTTCTTCACCTGAGACAAAGGCCTGGGGCTTTTTCTCCCATTGGAGGAACACTTCTTCCAGCTCACAGGTCCAGATCAGTTTAACCAAAGCCCATCCTGGACATATCTCAGCTTGGAGTTGTGGGTCTACCAACCCTCTCCTCTTTAAGTTGACCAACCCAAACTTTGGGGAGGGGAACCTGCCCTATACCAACAAGAATGCTTAAAAGATCCGACCCTCTTAGGGTCTTAGGATTTTTTTAGTTTCCAAATTCCATCTCTACTTGTGGAGAGTCTTTCTCTGTGAATATGTGTATGTATGTGTTTCTTTACTATTTTTTGGTCTTTTTGAGACAGGGTCTCCCTGTAGCCCCAGCTGTCCTGGAACTCACTATGTAGACCAGGCTGGCCTTGAACTCACAGAGATCCGCCTGCCTCTGCCTCCTGAGTGCTGGGATTAAAGGTGTGCACCACCATGCCCGGCATGTGTTTCTTTACTTTTAGTAAAGTTTGTTACCTGCTGTGTGAGATTCTTCCTGCCTTTCATTCTTTAACAAACATGATCAAGACCCTCTAGATGATACTAAAAATCATTCTTACATTCTCAGCCCTGTCATGCAGTTACTCTGATTATTTATTTACTATCTATTTCTTCAACAGAATGTAAATTTGAAAATAACAGATCTTAATCTGCCTCACACACTGTGACTACTTACCAGTGAACCAGGATTTGTTTACTTATTTATTGACAGGGTTTCAATGTATAGCCTTGGGTGGCCTCAAACTTCCTGTGTAGAACAGGCTAGTCTCAAACTCACAGAGATCTCCCTGCCTCTGCCTCCGAATGCTGAGATTAAAGGTGAGCACCACCATGCCTGGCCTACTTATTGAATAAACGAAAAAATGGTTTCTATTAGAAGGTGGTAACTACACCTTAAGTATACTGAGAGTGTCAGATTCCAATAGAAAAGGCATCTGATACTTATTTTGTCCTTTTAGTTACATAAAAAGAGCATTAAAAAATTACTTTCTCAGAAAAATGGATAAAAATATTTTCCCCATAAAAGTACAAATGTTGCCTGAGCAATGAATTATTTCTTTGGATTTCATTTCCTTGAGAAGTAATGTTATTCCAGAATCTATGAAGAGCATTACACTTGGAATCATTTCTTTAGGCTGGAAGATATTGCTTGGAGGTAGAATGGGGCACGAAGCCTTAGATTTAATCCCTCAAGGGGCAGGTGGTTTTTTGTTTCTTTTTCTTTTTTCTTTTTAAAACATCAATAACCAAAACTTGAATCTCAGTTAGATAAAATTAAAACATTAATGAAAAAATGTACATAGCAAAAAAGAAGCATTAATCTAAACAAAAGGTCTACAGGCACAATAATCAATTAGACTACATAAGGTATACTGATCTTGGTACCACATAACGTGCAAAAAACTATTAGACACTAAAAAACCAAAGGTAGAAAATTGCTGAATAATTTCAAATACTTCTCTTACTATTGTGTTTCTGTTGAAATTCATTATGGACCTTTCTATCTTACAAATATTAAAGGTTTATGCAAAGGTTAACAGTGACCACAACTTTTCACTATTTATTTAAAAAGATGCTCTATAGACATACACAGGTGCCAAGGACCTGAGTGTAACCAATTATGACTACTAATAATCAGATACATACAGATTAGAAATGCATGTGCCAACATCTCAGTGTTATTAGCAAAAGCAGTAAGTCTTTCTGTAATAAACAGTATATTTTAAAATGAAATGGAGATCTTTTTTAAAGGTTAAAAACTCATTTAATATTATGTCTTACAGGGCTTATACTGAGTTCAATATTGTGTAACTGTATTAATTCAACAGTGAACCTAAAAATTTTATAGCCACTTTTGAAAGAGATGTATCTTTGCTCTGGAAACTGTTGAGTATGTTAAAGCTATAATGAAATGCTTCTTCTTTAAAAAAAAAAAAAAGGTGCTAAGTAGAAATTATGTATCTCAAATAGTTAAAAGATCATGATTGAAGAAAAGTAACCTAAAGTTTTGTATTAAAAAAGACGTTTAAAAGCTTAAAAAAATATACCACTGTTTCAAATTCTAAAACTGTGTAGGCATCCTACTACTATAATTCTTTGGTATTTCTGTATTCCAATATATTGATATAGCAATTAGAAAAGGGTAATCTGAAACTAATTACCTGCTATACCGAAACTAGTTGTATTTTCTTTTCAATAATGAAACAATAAGTATCTTGAAATATATTCCTAGTATGTGAACTTTAAAAATGGATATTTGGGATTAAAGAGAAGAAAAACAACACAGGAAGGAATTCAGATAAAACACAAGGAAATTTTCCTTATCCTTTTGGCCTGGGGTCAGTATGACTTACTAATATCAGTATTTTTCAGAGAATCCCATTTAAAGTTTTTGGAAAGGCAAACAATTCTCTATCATTTTTGAAGTAGTAGAGAGGTATCTTGGGTCATCACAAAAGACATCTTATGTAAAAATGAAGACTATGCAAATCTTCATTCTTTTAGTCTAGAGATATTCATAGTGCCTATCACGTCAGTCATTTGTGGTATGCCAACTTTCCCCTCTCCATGTGTTTAATGACAGATAAGGACCACTCTGATCATAGGAAAAAGACTTAGAAGTTTAAAAAAAAAAAAAAAGCAGAAAGAAAATGATTTTATTGATTTAATAGTTTCTAAAATTTAAACTCAAAATTTTAAATTAGGCTAATAATCTAAAAACTTATCATGTTATTAAATAAGTTAAAAATATTCTAAAGTATTTTTTGGTAGCCTAACCTTCTCTTCTTAAAGTAACCAAATCAAGGAAGAATTACTCATCTGAACATAAAGAGACACCCTGATCCAGCAAGAGATACCTACTTTTTGATTGGCCATTTCAGATTAGTATGTGGCTTAAACTCCCTTCATATTTAATTAGCACATATCCTTTAGACATTTATGAAACATGGCTCAGAAAATTCTATGAATTAGGGCTAAACCTTAAAAGCATTTGTCAACAGACACTTGATTTCCAACAATTTTTTAAGTTATTTCACAGAGACTATTGCTAACACTGGATCCTAAAACTTTAAGAATGCAAAATATTAATCAAAAGCAAGATTACCAATAATCTTTATATTCCATTTATTTATTTATAGGAGGTGTGGGTATGTGTGTGTCTGTGTATGCACACATGTGCCACAGCATGGAGGTCAGAGGACAACTTTCAGGAGGAGTTGGTTTTCTCTTCTACCATGTGGATCCTGGGGATCAAACCCAAGTTGTCAGGCTTTTAAGATCTTTATCCACTGAGCAATTGTGCTGGTTCCCAGCAGAATCTTGTATGTATTTGTAGACATTTTATGGCATCTACAGACTTAAATACTCAGAATGTACATGTTAAACTGTACTTGGAGGGCTGGAGAGATGTCTCAGGGGTTAAGAACACCGACTGTTCTTACAGAAGACCTGGGTTCGAATCCCAGCACCCACATGACTGTCTGTAACTCCAGTTCCAGGGGATCCAACAGCCTCTTCTGTCCTCTGCGGGCATTGCACAACATGGGTGCACTTACCTACATGCAGGCAATACACGCATACACATAATAAATTTTTTTTTTTTTAAATTGTACTTGGCTCTTAGATTCATTTTATAGACTTATCCTGGGTTGGTTCACCACTGAGGAGGGAATTCTCCTACAAACATCATAAAGGTATTACTCAAGTTTAAGTCTTGATCTTAAAAAAAAATAAGTTAAAACAACCAAGGCAAAGAATTACTAGAATTTACTATGTCCTGTTATTATTAAGTGTATGTACACATGATGTATATGTGGGTGCTCATGCCATGACATGTATGTGATCAGAGGACAACTTTGTGGAGTTGGTTTTCTCCTTCTGCACCTTTACATGGGTTCTGGAAATTGAATTCAGGTTCTCAGGCTTGCACAGCAAGTGCCTTTATCCACTGAGTCATCTTGCTGGTCAAATAACGTGCTTTTTAACTATAAACTTGTATTTTCTACTAATGATATTAAGAAAGCAGAAAGCTACTGCCGTCCATTTATAAAAATAGAAGAATGTAATTTCTAAAACCCAGTACAAATTCACTCAAAAAAAGTCCACCAAAACTTAAAAACAACTTCAATATCATAAGATAAAAGAAGTGAACCAAGTGTTCAAGACAAATTATTTCATGGATGTAAAGGACTGAGATATAGGAGTCTCTTCCAACTTTTACCATCTACATTCCAAAAAGCGTATTTTATGGAAAGATTCACACATTAGTAGGCTTCCTTTTGCATTAACAGTGGGATATATTTACCTTGATGTTCTGGGCATCGACGTTTGCTCCAGCTTCCAGAAGAAGACTAATGACTGTGGTATTCCCTGCTAGTACTGCCCAGTGCAGAGCAGTGTTTTTGTGATACTTGTCACCAAGGTTAACTGAAACATTGAATGTTAAAAGCAATCTAGTTGGATCCACACTGAAAAGGAAAAAAAACAAACAAACAACAACAACAACCCTAATTTCAATTATCGAAATCGTTACAGAGACTACACTGATTGTGGCTGCATTCTCATTTCATCTTGGAACACATCTATTCTAACCTCAACAGTATTAAAATCAATGTGAGACAATATTCCAGCATGAACTGTTACATATGTACAACCCTATGGAAAGTAATATGGTTCCAAGGGGACCACATGCTCGGTCCTGACAGTAGGACTTTTAATCTAAAAATTGTTATTTTTATTTATGCAATTAAAGAATAAAAAAATGTTTATTTCAATCTGGACTAATCCAAACATTATTCAACACAACTTACAAAATACTATAAAGCTTGTCAACAAAAAAAAGCACAAGAAAAATTATTTTTAAAAGAAAATACACTCTTCCCATTCTTAGAAATTGTAAAGAAAATTACAGAGGTAAAGTATTGACACTAAAACAGGCAGAGTAATTTAAGTCACACACTATTACCATTACAAATTTTTTAAAATAATAGTGAGCCTAGCATTTGGTTTTTCTAACCACTGTTTCACACTATTATGTTGAAGTGATCTGAATATTATAAAATGATTACATACCTATGTGTTCTATAAGCTGCCCACATTAAAGGAGTCATTCCATTCTGATCCATCATATCTACATCCTGATAAAGTCAGAAAGCAAAATTTTAAGATCCTAACCAAAATTACTTGGAAGCATGTAATTTATAAATCATAGAATTCAACATATTACTACTCAATCAAAAATGATTTATGAGTTTCTTTCAAAACTTTAAAATAAAAAAAATTAATTATGGCCACTAAATAGTCTAACTGGTTTACATATTATGCTTTCAGGTTTTTAATATTTTACATGTGAAGATCTTTGCTATCCTAATCTTTGGGCCATAAAGAATTGATTAGTAAGGTGTTTTAAGTCTCTGAATTGCTTCTTTGTACTAATGTATAATGGGAGAGAATACCACCACCCTACCATTCCAAAGCATTTCCAAATAAGTAATAAAAACATGCAGCTTTTCAATCAGCTCAAACAGCTTGGGTTTTCCCCGTGTACTTTATGGCTACGTATTGCATCTTTTTAGAATTAAATAATTCTCCAAAGTTTATAAGGAAAATACAATTTGATACAATTTCTCTGCCTCATATTCTACCATTTTTAGCCTTTTTAAAGCTCATTAGTTTGGTACTTGCCTCTTGTGTTTAAATAATGTCTGAATGACTACCAGCATCTTAATTTTTTAGCTTTAGGCATTATCTTCTGTTCAGTATTTTAAAAAGTGAGAATTTCTATTTCCCCATACTCCATCACAAATATATAACTTTCCAATGCATTCCTCTCCAGACATCTATTCTAATTCATAGGACACAAGTCCTTGATATTTTTATTATTGTAAATACATATTGTAAACACTCCCTACCAAATAATAAACAACATTCTAAATTTTCCTTCTACTCTTTTTTATTTTCTGCTCTCTTTTTAAAAATCCTTTTTGCTTAGTTTTTAGATAATTAGAATTAAGCACCTAATAAATCAGCTCTTTCCTAGTTCTCTAAATGTTCTTTCTAGACTTTCTGGGGTACCAGGGATTCTAATCAGTTTTATTGTCCTGCAATTATCTTTCCTAATCCACTCCAAAGATTAATTAGAACAGGAATTCCTCAAAGATCAAAATCATATCAAATTATCACCTTCGCATTTTCAGTGCCTTGCAGACTAAGTAACAAAAACTGTTTGTTAAAAGACATGCTTCTGGGTCGGGCATGGTGGTGCACACTCAGCACTTGGGAGGCAGAGGCAGGTGAATCTCTGTTAGTTCGAGGCCAGACTGGTATATCTAGAGAGTTCCAAGACAGCTGGGCCAAAGGGAGACCCTGTCTCAAAAAGAAGACATGCTTCTGGGGAATGTGGCTCAGTTGGTAGAGTGTTTGCCTAGCATGCAGGTAGCCCTGGGTTCAATCCTAGCAAGGCATAAAACTGGGCATAGTGAGGCACAACTATATTCCCAGCAGGTAGAAGGGAGGAAGACCAGAACATAATGACTTCCTGAATCTCCTTTTAAGTTGTGTTACTGATTTACCAAACAGTAGGGAGAGCTATGGTAAACACACTTTTTAAAAACATTTATTTATTTTACTTACTTATTTGTGTTTGTTTGTATATGTGTATGTATATGTGTATAGGGGTGTGTGGGTGTGTGTGTGTGTGTGTGTGTAGGTGGGGGGGGTGCACTGCAAACAAAGTCAGAGGACAACCATGTCGGTGCCAGAGATGGAACTCAGATCATCAGACTTGGCAGCAGAGCCAATCTGCCAGCCTGGTCTATTTCTAAGCAGTTCTCTGTGAGCTACTATTACTGATAAAGCTGTGTCAAATGTGGGCATTATCCAAGTGAGCTGAAAAAGAAAGCTGAGAATGGCTGCATTTGGGTCTAGAATGTATTGCTGAATACCATGAGTTCCTCACAAGGCAAACTTGAATGCCATGCCTTATCCACTGTATATCCATTTCAGGACTCACTTCAACAGTGTTGGTGAGAGTATCTTCTGTAACTTCACTCAACAGTTTCAATATGCAGGTTTCTTTATTATTTATTTATCTACTGTTTTTGAGACAAGGTCTCCCTGTAGCTCTAGCTGGCCTGGAACTCACTATGTAGACCAGGCTAACCTTGATCTCACAGAGATCTCTCAGAGATCCTCCTGCTTCTGGGTGCTGGGATTAAAGGTGTGTACTACCATGCCTAGCAAGAGTAGTTTATTTTTAATAATCATGTGACTTTAACATGCATAACAAATTCCTTGCTTCTTATATGAGAAGGATATACTTTAATTTCAAAAAAGTATAGCCAAATCAGATGACCACTAAAAATAAGCATGTTTAGTTTCTGGTTGTCTCATTTTGTGTGTCCCTCAAGATCAAATCCAGGACCTCGTTTATGCCAGACAAGACCTCTGTCTACTATTGAGCTACAGTCCCTGCCCCTAAACATGTAAATTCTTATATTTAAGTTTCTTCTTAGTTCACACTCTTTCAACATTTTAAAAGTGACATTAAAAATTTCAGTAAGGTAAAAAGTGAAAATTATGCTAAATCTCTACAGTACTAAAAGAAGAAATTCAACTCTTTCTTTCTTTGGTTTGAGATTTAAAACTTAGTACCTCTTTTCCAAGTTCAACCTGGATGTATGTGTATTCTCTGTTGGGAAGAATTACCAAGCCCAGATCAAAAGCTTAGGGGAAGAGCAGGGCATGGTGGCACATGCCTGTAAATCCCAAAACTTGGGAAACAGAGACAGCAGGATCAAGGCCAGCCTCAGCTATACAGCGAGCTTGAGGCCAGCCTGGTTACACGAGACTCCAATTCAACAAAAAAGAAACTTGCCTTAGCAATTCAATATTGTTCCTCACTCAATTTCAATGCTGAAGTGAAATTCTGTCACTATCTTCAAATCACAGTTCCTGATGACTGCATCTGGGCTGTGACATGGCCCACATCTGGGGATCTGGCAGATGGAATGAGCTGGGGAGGGAAGATGTTGCCCAGCTTTTGATCAGTACACATTTTCTTTGGCCTTTGAGTCTACCCCTACCCCTGCTTGATTTACACTAGGAATGAGTCACAATGGGCTGTATATGGACCTGTGTTTTGGGTCAACACAATTGGTATGCAAAAATCCCTGAATCTGCTTACTTTCCTGCCTCACTTCCAACACTAGCCTCTTTCTTCATGGTGGGTTAGGATTTTAATTAGTAGTGCTTCAGCTCTGGGAAACAGTGCCATTCAACCTAACTTTGGAGTAATTCCTTCTAGTGGCTTTCTGGTACTTTCTGCTTTAGGATGCTGCTACAGTCTTAGTTCAAAATGTCTTCTTCCAGTGGAAGATTAAACTACAGCTGTCCAGAAGAGGTTCTGGTGCCACCCAGGCATTATTTCCTGGTGTCTGACTGTGGTGTTTGACACTAAGGAAAACCGGTTGGATAGATTCTCTAAGTTTAAAAAAAAAACAAAAACTAATTTTCAAGCATGGATTTACATCCTTAATCTGGCAGAGATGAGGTCAGAGATTTTGGGATGTATTCCAATTCAAACAATTAAATTCAGGGATTATAAAGAAGTATTTTAAAAAATCCCAAAATCTCCTTCTCATGATTATTTGGAGAGATCTACATGAGATCTAGATGAGGAGTGCTCACCTGTGATATGGATGCCAGAGGTATGGGGTATCTTCTTCTAATGCTGCCCACTGTATTTTCTGAGTTACGATCTCTCATTGAACCTTGAGCTCAGACTTTCAGTTAGACTAGATGGCCAGTAAACCTGGCATCTGCCTGTCTCTACCTCCCAGTGCTGGGATACCACCAGCACAGCCTAGTTTTCTCCTGGCTGCTGAGGTACTTAGGTAGCTGGTACTCTACCTACTGAACCATATCCCTAGCCATACTCCCTTGATATTTTTGTAGCTTACATACTACTCTAATTTTTTTTTTTTTTTTTTTGGTCTTTTTGAGACAGAGTCTCTCTATAGCCCTAGACTGTCCTTGAATTCACAGAGATCCACCTGCCTCTGCTGGGATTAAAAGCATGAGCCACAATGCCTTGCACTACTCTAATTTTTAAAAAGACTAATGAAATCAGTCAAACTTCAAAATCAACAAAGTTAACAAAAAGATAGTGAAGACTAAGAAATTTGCACCAGTTTTCTCTTACAATTAAAAGTGGAAAGAAAAACTGAGTATGATAGAAATTCTCCAACCCCTGGTAGAGGGGAAGAAACTGAAAGAATAAGGCTATCTTGTGGTAGTTTCCACAGATGGTCCCGGTAGACCTCACCAGGTATTCACATCCTTGTCCTGATTTTTCCTATACTGAATTTAAAAAAACCAAGCTTGATCTGTTCCCTACTTTAGCTGACAGAAATATTTCTGTACCAGTTCAAGGCCTAAGCCTTGAATAAGCATTAACAGCTTCTGCCTTTGCTCTTTTGAGACTTCTGAAGCACCACATAAGAAGTCTACTACTTTATCTGACAGTGGTACTGTGGAGAAGTTCTGACAATGCATAGACAATGACAGAGGCCTAGCTGTCTTAGCATCCCACCTATGAACAGTCTTCTACCTATTTCTATCAAAGCACAAAATATGTTTAAGTGACCCATGTTTAGCCATGTTTAAGATATGTTTAACTCCAGCTCAGTTAAACCTCCAGATATGACTGCAGTCCCCCAGCCATTACCAGAAGGCAAAAAAGCAGCCAATCCACAGAAACAGTGCTGCTTTTAATCATTACATTTGGGGGCTAATTTGGGCTAGTTTATTAACACAATAATAGAACTCCTCCTTCCAGCAATTAACTTAGCCTTTACCTAGTTAGTTACCTAAGCAAAATACAACTGCTATTGCCTGATATTTCCAACAAAAAACTTAAAGGAACTCACTGAAATACCTTAACTGTTTTGATAGCAATCAGCTAAACCCATTTACATTTGATATCTCATGATGAAACTCTGATTATAAAACTAATTTTCTTTCTTTTTTTTGGGGGGGGGGTCTTTTTGAAACAGGGCTTCCCTGTAGCCCCAGCTGTCCTGGAACTCACTATGTAAACCAGGCTGGTCTTGAACTCACAGAGATCCTCCTGCTTCTGCCTCACAAGTGCTGGGATTAAAGGCATGCACCACCACCCCAGCTCATAAAACTAATGTTTTAATACAACTAGAAAAAAAGAACAAATGGAAGAAAAACTGGGTGGTATTAAAACAAAATATATTTGTTACAAAAAAACACAGCATTATAAGTAAGTAATATTTAATGATTATGGTGACTGCTGCACATTCAGTAAAATTCAAGATCAAGAACTTAAATCATGACAAGAAACTGCATGATTTTACCTTTATATTTTATATCTATTATTTTAGATAGCAGAACAGCAAATCATTCCTTCAAGAGATTGTTAAAATGGAAAACAAAAATAACTTCAAAAGTCTACATGAATTCAGAAGACAAGTTCAAATCATAATTAAGGGGAAAACCAAATTTTAAATTTCTTCCCTTTCCAGAATTTATTTCTATCACACCTGGAAATTTAAAACCACTTATTGGAGAATTATTTAATTCATTACTATACTTGTGTTTACATTAAACACGCTAAAAACTCAGTTCCAAATTAACTATATTTATTTATTCTCTTCATCAGAAAATACTTAAATATCATCAGGTTATTACATAAACACTAAGTGTCAGGCATTTAAACCATGAAGAACATCTGGTTAAAACACACAGTGCTGTAACTTGTTTTTACCTGTCCTTTTGCTATGAGATAAGCAACAATCGAGGTATGTCCAAACTGAGCAGCCAGATGGATGCAGCTACATCCCTCCCCATCAATTAATGAGGGATCTGCACCATATTTCATTAGTTGAACGACCATGGATAAATGGCCTTGTCTAAAAAATAAAAAGACAAATATTTAGACACAAAGTTATTTTGAAGATCTTCTGTAAAGAGTGTACTTAAGTAAGGTAATGATGGGAATACAGTATCAGTACTAGACACAGGAGTTTATGGTTCTTTAAAGTTCTTTAACAGGGGAAGGATGGGGCTGGAGAGATGGCTCAGCAGTTAAGAACACTGGCAGCCCTTGCAGAAAATCCAGGTTCAAATCCCAGTACCCACATGGTAGCTAACAACTGTGGGTAACTCCAGCATCAGGGGGATCTGATGCCCTCTTCTGTCCTCCAAGGGCATTGCACAACATGGTTAAATTACACACACGTAGGTAATACACTCATACACATAAAATCAAAACAAATTTTAAAATTAAAAAATGTTCTTTAGGGGCTGGAGAGATAGCTCAGCAGTTGGGAACACTGGCTGTTCTTGCAGAAGACTCAGGTTCAAGTCCTAGCACCAACATGGCAGCTAAGAGCTGTCCATAACTCCAGTTCCGGGGGATCTGACAGCCTCTTCTGTCCTCCGCACGACACATGTGCACTTGCTTACATGCAGGCATAACACTCATAAAGTAAAAACAATAAATAAAATATTAAAAAAAAATGTTCTGAGGGCCCGAGGCAGGACAAGGTGATATGTCAGAACAGGGAAGACAGCATGGTTCTAGTGCAGTACAGTGAGGGAGGGAAGGAGACGGCAGCCTAAGAGTTAGCCATGCATTCTTAATTTAATGAATAGGCCTCTAGTTCAGGCTTTTGAAGACACTGGCAAAGAGAAGACGGCAGGTGAATGTAAATGCTGATGTGATTTAAGCTACCATGATATCCTTGGCGGCAGAGAAAAGCAGAGCAATTAAAAGTTAATGATTAACTTGTTTTGATGTTTTGGGTATCCTGGTCCAAGGACATCTCCAAATCCAGCATTTAATAATTGTTTAGAGAGTGATGCTTATGTGGATGACTCACAAACTCCAGACTTATGTTGGCTTGGCAGTCAATGTTCATAAAGTTCTTGGAATTGGTGTTGCAATATGATATTCAGAAAACTGTGCTTATTTGGAAGTATGTAACTCAAGAATTTTCATAATGTACAAACTTTTTTGCATCCAGCACCAGATCAAGAAACAATGTTACTATCACTGAGGAACCAGTTACCCTGTCTTCTAATCGCAACTCCTATGCTTATATTTAACACCATAGATTAATTTTGCCTATCTTTATGCTTGGTACCTATCAAGTCATAAACTATGCATTCTTTTGTATTTGGCTTCTTTGGTTCAATACTGTAAGATTTTTCTATCTTGTTGTGAACAGTTTTAGGTCTTCATATTTTTCCACTCTATAATGCCATAATTTATAGATTCATTTTTATGATGGATGTTGGAGTGGTCTCCAGTTTGGATCTATTATAATTAATGTTTCTAGGAATATTCTAGTATGTTTCTTTTGCTTTGCTTTGTTCTTTTGAGATATGGCCTTGTTATACAGCCAGGTTGCCCTCAAACTCATGGTGACCCTCCTCAGCCTCCCAGGTGCTAGAATTACATCATCACACCTAGCTGTATGTCCTTGTTGGTGGCCTTTTCTTTCTATGGAGAATTTTATTACTAAATTGCAGTTAAGTCTTTCTTTGTCTGTTCATCAGAAACATATCATGTATGTGATATTTCAGACATTAGGTCAAAGTTTGCTGCAGACTGGGAAGCATTCTGCTTTCATAAAGGTGAAAAGTTTCCAGCAACAAGACTGTTGGTGAGAGGAATTTCAAAGTTAGATTTAAAATATTTAAATTATCCTCAAAGTTTGAGAACATCATTACTTTGCTACACCCTTTCACTATATGCAACTATTCTCCACAAACAAATATGCTTCAACTGGGACTAGAGGTAAAGAGATTATCTCCCATTTCTCACCTCTATTTTACAATGATTTCATTTGATCTTTTCTAAGTATTTAATTTCACCAACCATTAGTTTCTCATTAGAGCTGTTATAAAGTTGATTGTATTTTGTAAGTGTATTTTATAAGAAAGTTGACAAAAAGTTCTTTAAAGGACAACTTTCGTAGTTTAATGAAAACAATCTTAACTTCCTTAAATATACTTATCATTCCAATAAGATCCCAATCATCCCAAGAACTAAGCTGATTGTCTAAATGTAAATATGTACACACACCCCCCAAAGTATTACATTTACAAATACAAAATTTAATCAAACCTTGTAACTGGATTAGCATGGCTAATTCCCTAAGGACAACTTGAAACTCCATCTCAAATGCAGATAATACTGCATAGTAATACATTAACATATTAATTATATTAACTACTGGCATAGTAAGTTCTCTTAATTCATTTTAGCATATCATTAAAAAAAAAGATATAATAGCCAAAAGGGAGATCCAGAAGCAAATATAAACCTTGTGGCCCAATGCAATGGAGTTGAATTCAGGTCTCCTCCAAGCTGATCCACGATAGCACCTTTTGATATATAGTATCTGCAAGACAAAATTGCAGGAATTTAAACAGCTTTCATTTTCAATTTTATGAAATTAGGTGAAAAAAATTTGTTTTCTATTTTAGTTTTTAAATTACTTTGTGCCTCTGAAGATAAACAACCTTTGATAGTTTAAAAACCATATTTAATATAATTTGCACACTAAACATATCACCTTTTTGTTCTAAAAGAAAAAGGGGAGTAATTTTTAAAGCTACAAGAAAGGAAAAAAAATGCCAAATAATCATATAAGAAAGTGATCATACAATTACAAGGAGTTTAGCAGCATATAAAATCTTGGAATTGATAGGTAAGACATGTTCTATCTTGAGAAACTCTACTTTTTAAGTTTTACTTCCTAACACAATATAAGATTATGGGGCTGGAGAGATGGCTTAGTGGTTAGGAACACTTGCTCTTCTTGCAGAGACCCTGAGATCAGTTCCGACCATCCACATGATGGCTCACAACCATCTATAACACCAGTTCTATAGGATCCAACACCCTCTTCTGGCCTCTGCAGGCACCAGGCACACATATGGAACACTTACATACATGCAAGCAAAATACTCATACATATAAAAATAAATCTTAAAAAATAAGATTACATTGGGCGTGGTAGCACACGCTTTTAGGCCCAGCACTTGGGAGGCAGAGGCAAACAGATCTCTGTGAATTCCAGGCCATCCTGGTCTATATAGTGAGTTCCAGGCCAGTTGTGGTAACAGGGAGACCCTGTCTCAAAAAGACCAAAAAAAAAAAAAAAAAAATTTACTATAGATTTTAAGTAGTTCTGAAATGGTCCTGAAAGTACCTGGTTGCAAATGTTTTGTGAAAACAGGCTAGACTCCAAAGACAAGTGTAACTCAGCTGTGCTGGACAGCTTTAGTGTTAACTTGACACAACTGGGTTGAGGGAGTCTCAATTGGGGAATTACCTCTATTGAACATGTCTGAGGGGCATGTTCTTGATGAGTGATGTGGGAAGGCCCAGCCCACTGTGGGTGGTGCCACCCCTGGGCAGGTGGGCCTGTGTTGCATAAGAAAGCAGGCTGAGCAGGGGCCAGGAGAGCAAGCCAGTAAGCAGCATTCCTCCATGGCCTGTGCTCTAGCTCCTGAATCTAGGTTCCTACCCTAAGTTCCTACCTTAGGGTCCCGGATGAACTGTGACCTGGGAGATGTAAGCTAAATAAACCCTTTCCTCCCCAAGCTGGTATTGGTCAGAGTGTTTTGTCACAGCAATGAAGAAACAAACTAGAACATCAGCCAAAGAACTACATTTAAAAAATATATATTTTCCTAAAAACCCCAACTGGAATTTTTCTAAAATAATTTCATTCTTTTCTTCAGGTCAGTTTCCCTGCTCTTGAGTCACTAGTATATTTGGTCTTTTTGAGATAGGGTCATCCTGTAGCCCCAGCTGGCCTGGAATTCACTATGTAGACTAGGCTGGCCTCAAACTCACAGAGCTCAGCCTGCCTCTGCCTCCCAAGTGCTGGGCTTAAAGGCATGAGCCACCATGCCTGGCTAATTTCCAAACTAATTCTAAGTCTAAAATGCAATCTGTTCCCACAAGAACAGAGTAACATTCCCCCCAACATATTAAAAAAAGAATGATTTACATTGCTTTTTTCATTATAAAAACCTAGAATACTGTATTTTTATAAGGGGTGTGTGTGTGTGTGTGTGTGTGTGTGTGTGTGTGTGTGTGTAAGATTTGAACTCAAAATTAGAAACATCAAGATTACAACTCTTATTTTTTTTTTTGGACAGATTTTTTTTAAACTAAGATATTGAGTGTGTGCTGTGTGTGTGTGTGTGTGTGTGTGTGTGTGTGTGTGTGTGTGTGTGTGTCTGTTTGGGTATGTCCAAGTGAGTACAGTGCCCATGAAAGCCAGAAGAGCGCACTGGATCTCTTAGAGCTGGAGTTACAGATGGTTGTGAGCTATCATGTGGGTGCCGAGAACCGATCTTCAGTCCTCTGCAAGAGCGGTACAGGCTCTTAACCACTGAGCAGTCTCTGCAGCACCTGACTTGCTCATTTTTATACTGGAGCTCCCCTCAATACTACAAAAAGGTTATCATCAAGAATGTTTTTGCAGGTACTAACATTCTCTAGGTTTTAAGGCAGGCCATCAATGAAAAGGAATATCAAAAAATATGTGAAAAACTAAATTCCTAAACCTCAAATTTCTCTACAAGGGACATGTAGTAGAAGCAAGCCAGAGTACACTAAAAATCTCTGTCAAGGCCAGGCATGGTGGCACATGTCTTTAATCCTAGGACTTGGGAGGCAGAGACAAGCAGATCTCTGTGCGTTCAAGGTTAGCCTGGTCTACATAGTGAGTTCCAGGCCAGCTGGGGCTATAGGGGGACACTGTCTCAAAAAGACCAAAAAAAAAAAAAAAAAAAAACATGGGAAGGGATAAGGATTGGGAGCAAATTGAGGCC